TCACCCAAACTCGCTTAACTTCAGAGTTCCGATCCGATGGAATCCGAAGCTAGTGAGTTCCCAAAAGGCCTCGTGCTATATGGAGAGAGCATGTACATATAAGGCACATCACCCCATCTCCGTTAGTCGATATGAGATCTTACAATCCACCCCACTTAAGGGGAACCCGGCGTCCTCGTCGGCACATCTGCACCAAACGGTAGAGTGGCTCTGATACCATTCTGTCACATCCTATACCCGACTCCGCCGTAGCACGATATTATCCACTTTGGGCTTACCATTCCCTCACAGATTTGTTTTTGGAAACTCAGACGAGAACTTCTCAGTGGGTCACCCATCCTAGGATTGCTTTCGCCCAAACTCGCTTAACTTCGGAGTTTCGATAGAATCCGAAGCTAGTGAATTCCCAAAAGGCCTCGTGCTATAAGGAGTGGAGCATGTACATATAAGTCACATCACCCACTCTCCGTTGGTCGATGTGAGATGTTACAATCTACCCCCCTTAGGGGGCTCGACGTCATCGTCGGCACACTCGCACCACACGACAAAGTGGCTCTGATACCATTATGTCACATCCCAGACCGGCTCCGCCGATATTGTCCGTTTTGGGCTTACCATTCCCTCACTGTTTTATTTTTGGGAACTCATGAGCAACTTCCCAGTGGGTCGCCCAACCTGGGATTGCTCTCGTCCGAACTTACTTAACTTCAGAGTTCCGATGGAATCCAAAGCTAGTGAGTTCCCAAAAGGCCTCGTGCTATAGGGAGGGGAGCATGTACATATAAGGCACATCACCCCCTCTTCGTTGGTCGATATGGGATCTTACAATACTCTGAAGTTAAGCGAGTTCCCAAAAGGCCTCGTGCTATAGGGAGGGGGGTATGTATATATAAGGCACATCACCCCCTCTCCGTTGGTCGATGTGGGATGTTACAAATTAGGTCCATTAAAAACACCACTAAGAGTTACAAAATGATGACAATAATATTGTGGCATTTCGTGTTTTAAATGAAAATAAGTGAGAGGTCAATATTTGAATTACATTATTGCTAGTCTATTGTGAGGTTAAGTCCACTCCTTCTCCTTTAATGTAGATATATAAATCGTTTGTTAAAAAAAAATTTCAAACCTCAAGATAATTATAGATATTGTAGAATTTAATTTAATAAAATTGCATTATCAACCGATAAAAACTAATAAACAAAACCCAACTTAAACAAAATTCAAGTAAAACTCAATATTTTTCTTTTCCTTTTTAATCAAAATTCAAGGAAAAATCAATATTTTTCTTTTCTTTTTGCAAAAATTGAAGGCAAAAAAAATGGTTACAACAAATAAAATCTAGGGTTATGATAACTATACCTACGGTAGATACTTTCACTTCTTGGCCTTCAGATAATGCTAAAGTTTACATACCCTTTGATGTTACCCTTTTTCTTACGAGGAGAGAGATAAGGAGTAAAAAGGTGCACATCAAGGGGTATGCAAATTTTCCATCATTCTCCCCCGATCTCTGGCAGTCAATACATGCACAGTAATTAAAGAGACCATATTCAAAGATCCGCCGCCTGTAGATATGTTTGGTGGTTTTCTTCACCAATGACGGTTTGCATGCACAATGCAACAAAGTTTTTATGATTTATAAATTTATAGATGAAGTCGATAAATCTAGAAAGACGGTTTTGAAATGATAGGGGGCTCCACTTTATATCCGATTTTAGGTTTTTTGGTAATTAAATTTAACGGTGGTTTTCACCACTAAGATCCAATCTAGACGTTACTTACCACTTTAGCTTCGTCCTTATCAACATGTGATTATGATGGCGATAAACACGGTCCTATTTGACTGTTTGTGCTTAACCCGATTTAAATCAGGACAAATTTTTAGTTATGATGGAAACACCGATGGTACATAACTTGTTTTTATGCAAGTGGTGAAATTTTTTAATTTTTAAGTTATTAACGTTTTAACACACATAACCCACCATTTATATAAAGAAACGTGGTATAACATCTCGTTTGACAGTCACATTGAAAAATCTCTCCTAAATCGAAGCGTTTTGACTACTATTATAATTACATGTTGACAAGGATGGGAATTAAAGTGGTAAGTAACGTCCAAATTGAATCTTGGTGGAAACCACCGCTATGCAAATTAACCAAAAAATGGACAACCGGAGTCCGATTTGATTTGGTACAAGCATGCACTGTTAACCAAAAACGACTATGCTGGTAATGGTTTTCTCAAACAACAACAACCAAATAAGATATATCTGGTTGGTTGGTTTCGTTTCGTATTCCTCTTCAAATTTATTACTGTTTTCATTTCCCAAATTAGTAAGCCGAACAATTCGTCGTGGATGTAGATATAACTCTAACACATTGTATCTTAGCACGAGATGCTGCCGATGGTGGTGTACCCATACCACAAAGTTCTTTTCCTATATTGACGTATCATATAGGGGGACAAGAAATTAGAAAACAAGTAGAAAAACAAGCAAAAGAGATTAATCTTAGCTTAGTGATTGCCTTCTTTTGCTTACATCTGGAAACTAGGTCAGTGATTAGCCAACATAAGAAAAAGGTTATCGGATCTACTAAACTATAGCTACCAAGTGGAACAAACACCTTAAACTGCATGTGAGTTTAGTCATTGGCACTTTCTTGAACTGAAGAGTACAAACAATATTAGGAGATTGTTAGCACCAATCGTGCGTAAGTGCATGATGCAGTTCGAACTATTGATCATCCTCGTCAGCATGCAATTGATACTAGCACAACTCGTAGTACATATACATGAGTTGCATTGTTTCCACCTAGTAATCACACGATAGCGTAAGAGTATTATGAGTGGAAGGGGGATGAGTTCACTCTATGTTATTTAACAACTAAGCAAAATCAATACTGACTATAGGACCCCCGACGCACAAGGCCTGCGATAGTCATGGTTGAAACAAATCTTTTAGGACCGCACCAAACGGTGCACCATAGGTCGCTCTTATTTACGCATGAATGATTGGAATGACTACAAGTCAACCTATATAATAACTACATAAATTATTGACACCACTATATAGCATACAGCGATCAAATATATGATCACATGTACCAAAATAAAGGACGGTCGAATGTGCTCTTGATAATTGATGATCCAATAAACAAAAATTCAATGGCCAAGAATCTCAATGCATCATATATATGTAAAAAAGAGAAAGAAATAAGGAATTAGATGGAGAAATTTTTTGATGGATCTTTTTCTTTTAAAGAAAAACTAATAAAAAAAACTTGAAAACTTTCAGTTTTAACGATAAGAACAAAATAAAGAGTAAAGTGAATAGTATCAGGATTGACTTTTTAGTGTAAAAATATAGTTTTTCGTTAAACTGAATAGTACCGAGAGCTTTTTGTTAAAGTTTCCTTCTTTTTAAGCACATGATGAGAGAAACACATATAATTGTATGTAACCAATGGTGGGTAGTATTTCTCGTCTCTGGCATGGATTATGTTGTGTAATATGTTGCCATACCTCAGCTGTAGTAGCCCCTGCCCCATATAGTGGCCAACAATGCTGATGAGGTTTGAAAACAATGGCTTCTACATTCTTTCAGAACACACTCATTAAGCGAGCAAATATATGTATATGTATATATATTTTGTTATTATTAAGGGGAGGAGGTGTTCAAAACTTTATAATAATTTAGAGAAAAGAAAAGTTTATGAGATACATGAGTGTAAACTCAACATCTTATTTACTAGGATATTGAGCTTACAATTTAATAAAGAAATATTTATAGAAAATAAGAAAGATGAAAGGGTTGAAGATTTGAAGAGAAAGGAGAGGAAAAAGGAGAAACAAGAAAGAAATTGGATTAAATTTTATATCAGATATAAATTTCTTTAATTAGACTTCAAAGAAAGAACCAATCGCATATCAGTTCAGGAAAAAAAAAATAAAAATAAAAGGCTTATTTTAAACTACAGTCATTCTGTAACTCTATTTTGATTTCACTTTATCCTTATAACTTAAAAGTTGTCATTTTATTCTCTGAAACTCAAAATTAGTTATACTTTGACTTATAGACTTTCTCTTCCTTGAAACTTATAGGTTGCATCTTGAAACATACGTGAGACCCAACACCCAATAAGACTATGTCACGTGTGCAATAAATTTGATTATAAAACTCCATTATGCGTTAATCAACAATTATAGAATATTAAGTTTAAAAGAAATTGAAGAGATGAAAATAGCGATATGCAAATTTGTGGAAATATCGATCGATATATCAATATTGATCGCTTTTGATGGAAATGATGAAAATTTAAAATGAAACCTTAGGAATGTCAAACACTGATCTAGACGAACTATAAGAGTTTCTCTGAGATTTAACGGATATGTCGAAAATATCGACGGAATTTGTAGATTTTAGCCCAAATTTAAGAGTTTCTCCGATATGTAGTGAACTTTAGACTTCACCCCTCTTTCATATCTTCTTCTGATTTTTCAGATATTTCAGATATCGAAGAAATTTCAAACACTATCTAAAAACATAAAATTCTATTGGGCCGATAAGCCTCGGCTGAAACTTGACATGAAGCCCAGCCCAACATTCAACATGCAGGCCTTGAGGCCCGCTGTTCATTTTTGGTCCAATTATGCTAAAAATTTAGGTACAATTAAAGGTGGCAATCAACCCATTAAGATCTATTTGGTTTGATTTCACTTTACGTGCTATTACTACTACCAACCGCACCTATATAATATAGTGACATCAAATTAAACGGGTCTTAACGAATATCTATTAACAGTTCAATAGGTTGATTGATCATCTCTATGTATTATGGTAATATCAAATTAAACGGGTCTTAACGAATATTTATTAACACTTCAATAGGTTTGATTTCACCTTACATACTATCACTACTACCAACCGCACCTGACCCGGCCCAGCCCAACACCACCTACCCCTGTCTTATAAAACATATACAAACAGTCAAACCGGTCCTATTCATTTCTCAGCCCAGCACACAGACACATACCGCCCGATGTCAGTCCCCGAAGCATCGTGTCGGAATATGAACGCGGATCGACGCCCAAGCTTTTCCGACCACCGCGCCGGAACCCTACACTCCGATTCACCCCATGATCCTCTCCTCCGGCCGGGCTCCTTCATCGACGCCACCACCACCGCAACAACCTCCAATGGCCGAACCCCAATCCAAACCAAAAATCCCCATAAAGCGCCGCAGCAATCGAACCGTTCGGAGCCCGGAGCCGGCGCGGAGAGCACGGAGGGAGGGGCGGGGCGTGCCAAGCGAAAAGGGGTATCGGAGCCGCTGGAGAACTGGTTGCCACCGGGTTGGTCCGTGCAGGAGAAAGTTCGGAGCTCTGGTTTAACGGCTGGATCTACAGATAGGGTAAGTTTCTTTCTTTCAAAAATTCTTTTTCTTTATTCAATGAGCTCAAGCAATGGAAACTTTTAATTTTGATATTTTATTTGAATTCAATTATGCGTTGGTTTGTTGTTGATTAATGCTGGTTGGAAAATGACTCTGTGAAAGAAAATGGAGAAAGAGAAGGGATATTTAGATTCGATTAGATTCTCTGTATATTATTTCGAATGGAAATTAGATTCTGTGTTTTAAACCCATTAAAAAAAAATCAAGAATTTAATACTTGGTGTTGGGCAAAGAATTTAAACAAGTAAAAGGGCTTCAGTTTCGGTGTAAGATTGGTAATTATGGTTGAGATATTGTGTTTATAGGAGTTGGGATTTAAGGTTTGTATTAGATAATTAATTAGTTTTGAGTTCATGCTGTCTTGCTACCCCAGATGTTATAAAGGTATTCTTAAAAGCGTCTGTTTGTCGAATCCGCTTCAGTGTACACACGGCGTATTTTGAATCTTTAATTGGCGTTGGGAAGGAAATTATTTGTAGCGGTTTTCTTCGCTGTCATTCTCTAAGTGGAGGTTGTATTATCCTTTATTCGAAGTCGTTATGTGATGTTTGCACTTTGCACTTCCAAGAATGTTTCTTCCATGTTTCCGATTGTTTGGTGGTTTGCTTTCCAGAAATGTGAATGTATTGGATAGATTCTTTGCTTTGAAATTCAACCAGGTTGTATAATAGCCGTTATGGCTTAGACGTCTGTTATTAAGTTGGTTAGAGGTAGAATAGTTAGAACTTATTGATTCAAGCTATTGCTTACCGTTTGTAGCACAATCAGAGCTTTCAAAACATGATTTCTGGGCTATTCACGTGGTCTTTGGTAATCAGTCCCCGTGGCTTTGTATGGTAACGTAATAAAAGAAAAGAAAAATTTATACAATGATGTATAGTAGGGTGCATACATTCTATTTAACACATTATTCTACTAGTTAATTACTCTTTCTATGGAATTTGGTTTGAATTTTTTTGTGTATCATTAGGATCACGTCTTAGTCATAATTAGCGGACATTATCAATTGATTAGTGGTTTTTCCCCAACGTGTTCTGTTGCCGTTTGAATCACTGATAGGTATATCCATTAACCACTACCCTGAAACAAATATATATTAGTAAAACGAGGGAAGATCATTTGACGCTAGTGTAACAGAAAGAGAACACCACTTATTAACTGTTTTAGGATTTTGTTTCCCGATCCAACCACTAGATTTTTAATGTTCTTATCATGCACAAAATGTTTACTTAATTTCTTGTCGGTTCAAGTTGGGGAACTGTCCCATTAAGAAGATATAAATATGCATAAGAAAAATGCATAATATGATAGTGTAGATGTAATAGTTGAAGATATTCCATTCACTGGAAATCACTTTTTGGATACATGGGAGAGTTTACTTGAAATTTGACTACATGGTGGCCACTCAACGGTTGGATCAGGAAACTAAAGTCTAACAAAATTTGTTACTTGGCGGGGAACTAACTAGTGTTAAAAAATTGTAACTGGCTGGTCCTGCTCCTAAGTTTTTGTCCCTGCAGTTCAAATTTTTCTAAGTTGGCTCATGAACATAAACGAGCATCCAACTGTCGCTTGTACAGTTTTTTTTTTTCCCAAGAAAAGCATCAATATCTAAGTGAGCTACATGATAGATTTACCAGGAAACACAAAACAGATGGAAACCAAAAAGGAAGAGGACTTGTGGCCCGTAGGTTAATACCTCATAGTAAAGTTTATTCCAAGGCCTAAATGGAAAGAAATTGTTTACTTGCAGATGACATAAGTGGATTGTCCTTGTTGTTGCTTGTGTTCTTTAATTCCTTTGACGGTTCCATATTAGATAAATTAAATGCTACATAAATATAAAAATATCAAAGATTGCTTTCCGGAAATCAAGTCTGAGCAAGGTGTAAATCATCTGTTGCAGTATTACTTTGATCCAGTCTCAGGTCGCCGGTTTCGGTCAAAGATAGAAGTTCTCCGCTTTCTTGAAACGGGAACAGCTAAAAAGGCAAAGACAGAGAATGCTAGTGCTGACAAAACAGTGAGTCAGAATTGATTTTGCTGAAGGTGGTAACTTTTCCATTTTATTCTTCTTAATCCTAATTTCCATTTTCCGGCTACCTTATTTCTGGCAGTCTGTCGAGGGTTCTGGAAGCCAAAAACAAAAGAAGTCTAGCACGAAGCCAAAGAATTCTGCGTTGAACTTTGATTATACTGATGTGCCCGAGAAGGTGGAATGGGCTCTTACAGACTCTTCCGGACAGTCCTGGACACCCTTTATTGATAACAAAAAGGTCCCTGAATCTACATCAAAAGAATGGGCTGCTGCATTTGCATTAGTCCCATACAAAAAATAGTGTCCACCCTCATTGGAAACATTTTGAACCCTCCTGCTGTATCACTAAGTTTGCGCTGCAGAAAACCGTCATTCTTTTTGCCAACAGACGTACACTGACCAATACTAGATCCTGTATCTCCATATTCCATCCCTACTGATCTTTTTTGGTATCTTTTGGATCCAAAGAATTCATATCGTGGACAGCGAAGCTCATCGACATTGTTTTTTGGCATTTGGCCTATTTTGGGTATAGGTATATTCAAAAACTCTTATATTTACCGTTGTAGTTTTTTGTTTCTCTCCAAGTGATGTTAGACTAACTGTAATGTTGTTGCTCGTTTTCGGGTTTATGGAGTTGTAAGCGTATTTTGGATACATATACAGTTGTCTCTTAAATATACATGTAAGTCGTGTCTGGTTTTATCTGTTTCCTTCTGGAGTTTGTGTCAGGACGGTTTATTTAGGAACACTACTTCGCTGCCGAAAGAATAGCAGTAGGTACTGCTGAACCCTAAATCACAGATGGACGTGATTGGAGTTCAGCAGCTGTTGCTATTGGATATGTGAATTTTTTGTTTTGAAGAAAAACAAAAGAACGATTTTCCAACAATCTGATTGACGATAACTGTTGATATAATCCAACGGTTATTGTTTATTGTTCATAACGCAATTGATTTTATTCATGAATATTTGTTTCCACTAAACTTTTGAAGTTATTTATGGCTAGTGAAAATTTTAAGCGTTTTGTAATATCTTTCGCATATTGTTTGCGATCTCATTCTATCCGCTGAGTTTTCTATTCAAAACAAGCCATGTGCAAGACACATGACTTATTTGTAAGGCTATTTGAGATATTTTAACTCTTTTTCTTAATCAACATGATTGATCACATTGAATTCAATAAACTTGTAATTTGCTTAAACTTCATGTTAATAAGCTTGATATACTTCTTTTAGTAGTTCACCATAAGTTTATAAAATGAATGTGGCCCTTTTTTTTCATGCCAAAAAATAAGCAGAGAACTTGCAAAATAATGAAGTTGAAAACCATATCAGCCACCACTAGCTTACATTTATCTTTGTATAAAAATATTAAGTAAATAAATGAATAAACTTGTGAAAAATGAGGTTAAAATAACCTTCTTTTGGATGGTAAATTTTACAGAGTTAAAGTGAAATAACAAATTAATGAGTTCATATTAATTTTATATGAAATATTACTTAAAAAATAGAGAACTTTAATGAAAAGCTTCCGGTACTATTCATTTTAACGAAAAACCACATTTTTACACTAAAAAGTCAATTATGGTACTATTCACTTTACCTTTTATTTTGTCCTTATCATTAAAACTCAAAATTTTTAAAACCTTTTCATTAGTTTTCCTTAAAAACTATGCATAAGTTCATGTGAAATTTTAAGAACTTTCCTTCCCTTTATTAATTTGTTTCCAAGCCGCTTTCAAATCATAAAAGGAAATCAAAGAAATAGTTTGAACTGATTTCTGACACACCCCGATCAGAATCGAACCCGAAGGTGACTAACCAAAAGTGTGAGTGATGTAAAATTGTGAATAAATTAAAATCGAAACTAAAAGTTATTTAACTAATAAAGTTAGTGCGCAGTAGTGGGTAGAATCTATAGAATACAAATATTCAGAGCATAGGTAACAAAAAAGTGCAATCAGAACTAATTATAGTGCTTAATACACAACCGGAAAAAGACCCAACATTTATTTAGATATATCAGAATCCGTCGGAGTTTCCTTGTATGCCATAGAGAATTTAGCTATCTAAGACTTGGAGGGGCGAAAAACGAAAGGGTGAGTGGGCACAAAAACAAAGGTTTATAAAACACTTTTATTTTCCGAACATACTAATCCCTCGCTATAAAACATGTTTAGTTTCCATAAAATCATACTACGTATAAGTATGAAAACAACTGTAAATAACAATAATGCTAGAAATACGCCAAACTACAATATCTCATCAATAGCATAATGAAAACAGGTTGCTCACCAATCTACGCTAGCACACGAGTTCGTGCAAATAGTTTCTGACATGAACATGACTGTGGTGTAATGTATAAGTACGCTCTAGTGCTACAATCATGTGAAGACTATTAATAATCGTGGTCACCTATGAGTTGGAGTTGCCTAATGTAACATGTATGACAGGACTGGCACCTACTTGGATCCAAGGTGAGTGTGCGGTGCAGAGGTGAACATACACGTGAAATACTAGCCATGGCCCTAAGCGAGCACTAGCACTGGGGTGCATTAATGATGAGTAGACTACATGCATAAATATAAACATGCCATAACCATTCACTGATTCTAACCAACATAATAACGTACCTATGCATCCCGTAAGAATATTTCAACATTTCACAGCAATATAACATTTCTTATAACACGTTTAATCATGGCATAATATCAATCTAAAAACAATAGTGGCATGATATGCATAAATCAATTCAAAAGCATTTGTGGAAACTATGAGGTTTACACACACACACACACACACACACACACACACACACACACATGAAAACAATATGCCCACTCACATGGTCGGATCATAGCCTCCTAGCCTTGCTTGACCTCGTACGTCCTCAGGATAATTTTCACCTATATGTGAAATAACTAAACTAATAAATTAAATAGGACATTTTCAAAAGGGCTAGGTAAATCTCCCATACTTTGCTCAAACGGAAGATTTGAATATACAAAAATGATCTACACGAACTCACGGACCCGTATGTGTCAAGCACTCGCTGCCTAGCCCACGGCCACACGCGCCCCTACGTGTAGGTCAGTGACTAACAAACGTCAGGAATATTCCGTTAAACAATTAACAGAGCTTAACGGTGTTAGTTGACGCCGTTAGAATATTCCTTTAACTTTGACGGAATATTCTTCGTCTTCCTAGATGAGCCTCACCGTCTGCCGCTGTCCACCGCTGTTTGGTTCGTCGGTTTTTGGGAAAATTTCAAAATCATATATCTTCTTCATTTCTCAACCATTTTCGATGCACTTTATATGGAAATGAAGCTTATGAAGAGTAGAACAAGATTCTACCTTTAAAAGTCCAAAAATGGATAGGAAATGGCCTGAAAATGACTTGAAAATCTCAGCCTTAAACTCGACTTCTCGAACTCGCTTGTTTCGACGTCAACTCGACTCCAAACTTAGTCTAAGGACCCTAGGGAGTTGTGTAGAAGCTTCTCCACGTCCTAAAACCTTATAACTCGGCCTGAAACTCGTCGGAGGAAAACTCACCGAGTCTGACCTTCCGAGTTAATGATTTAAACTCGATCATTTCACCATCGGCTGGTACGGCTGGGTTCATGGGTTCAAGAAGAGTACAATGGTTATGTTTTTGGGTTTGATCTGCGAGTGTTGATGAAGGTCCTTGTTGTTGTAGAGAGGAGAGAGTTACGAAATGGAGAGAGAAGAAGAAGAAGATGAGAGAGAGATGGATAGCTTTTTATGATTGACTGAAAAGAAAAGAGAAAGGGATGTTGTCTGATTGAATGAGAGATTTGAGGATGAGATTTGATTGGTGGGTGAGTGAAATGAGGGAAAAGGATTGGTTGTGAGGGTTTTAGGGCACACGGGACATATTTTTAAAGAGGAAAAAGAGCTAGGGTTGTACAATGGAAATCCACAAAATCTTACGTACCCTATCAAAAACAGTAGTTTTCCAGTACTGAAAATTAACACACACATGTAACACTTTACCCATTGGTAACGTACTTTAGTTGTGCGTAACTTTTTCGTTACGGCTCCTATTCGGGTCTAATTCGCGCTCACGAGATCGTAACGACGGGTACTATTTAATTACGTTACTAGGAAAAATAAAATAAACACTGAATACTACATCCACGTCACATTGCCAACCAAGGCAGAAATGTCAATTTACACACTCGTGAAGAAATTACATAGAAAATTAGGGACGGGTTGTCACATTTCCTTACCCAATAAGGACATTGTATATTTTCACTGAAACCCTGGCCTGTTTTGGAAACGTGTTGCCCAAGGAATCCTTCGAATTTGGATTCGAATTTGGAAATAGAAGTTATAAATTTTTATAAATAGGTTGCACAGTAGTACTATAGCCTCTCCAAATTAAAACTTTTAACCTAGCTGACAAGCTCTTCCACTCTCTCTCTCCCGTTCTCTTCCTCATCCAAGTGAATTTTAGGCGAATTGATTCAAAATTTTAGGGAGATAGACATAGTTTGCTAAAGCCGATTATTATTTTTTTTTTTTTTTTTGCGCTTGTTGAAATCATTTAAAAATAAGTCTTGATTAAATGCACTTCGAGTTTTAAGTTTTATAGATTTCTTTATAATCTTAATTGAATACATCCAAAATTTTTTTATCTCATAAACTTTTTAAAATTTTTTTACTGGATGCCCCTGAAAAATTCTCATACATCAATCGTAATTGAGTACCTAAAAAGAAGAATGTGGTGGCGGTGGCTGAGGTTTGATCTCAAAGCAGAGAGAAATCGACAGAGTTCAGATGTCCCTCCCTTAAGTTGATTACTATTTGCTCCGCTTCCAGAAGTTCCTGGAGCGCGGCCTGTAGAAATATTTGTGGCGCAACAGGCTCTAGAAAAACTGGGGCCGCCGCCGCATTCTCAATTGTATTCACGTGTGTTAGCGATTCAGCTAGTTAGCTTGAGTAGTGTATCTTCGGTATAAGTTCGAATTCTCAGCTGCCTGCTTTGTGCATTACTTTATAATTGCCTTTTGGTTTTGGGGAGTATGTTTGTGGCTCAGCATATATTCATATGTCCAAATACTATAAGCTATATCAATGTCCAAATACTATAAGCCATAACTGGTAGGATCAAGCTATTAGGTAGGAGACGTTTTCGTCCAGGATAAACCCTCGAAGACTAACCGTGTGTGTTTATATATATATATATATATATATATTGGACGAATCTCAACGGTATAAGGAAATTATTCATATCAAATCAAAAAGCAATTTTATATGGATAAATTTTTAAAAGAATTTTTCTATATGCAACAGTAGTGGAGGATGAATACTCCAATATTCAAAAGAGAGGCAAAGGTGTAGTGGCGCATAGGCTTGCTGGTTATGGCTTGACGCGCAGGACACAGTGTCACAAGACTTTCAGGTATGGTTTAGGGTTGAGGTGATTTTAATACAAAGCTAGTATAAAAAAAAAGCTGGAGGCATTTTTGTGTTTGGTAAACTTCAAACTTCAGTTTTTTTTTCACAGTTTTGGGTGAAAAAAACCAACAAACAGAAGCAGCAAAAGGCAGCTTTAAAAAACTGGCTTTCCAGCTTCTGCGCAAACCTATAAAACACTGGTGAACAGTGACCCTTTAATGAAAGTTTCTGGCAATCCTACGCTCCCTTCATCTCTATCATCCCCTTTCTGCTCCTGTCAGCTTCATCTCTACCAAAGATCACCCCCACTATGAATCTACCTCGTCCCTCCTCGTGAAGATCCGAATCGTCACCACTAGAGACCCACAAGGGTCACCAGGAGGAGAGCCCTAGACCACTATCATCACAAATTAACCAAAGTTGTTATACTCAAATGTGCTTGAAACTAAATCAGAATTAGCAGAGGAAGATTGCGTGTTCTGAGAAACCACGAATTCCCAGAGGAAGATCGCGGTGAAGAATCAAAGACGTGCATCATCCTCCACAACAAGATTGTGGCGGGGAGGTCTTTGTGCTTGGAGCAAAGTGAGGGAGGAGTGGAATTGGGTTTCTGGGTTTTCTTCTTCCTGATCTTCTTTGGGGTCCCATGGATAAGCTTGGTTTGGGGGAACGAAGAAAAGGAAATATGACAAAGAAGCAGCAGAGGAAATGAAGCTTCGTTTCACACCATCACAGTTGTTTTGCATAAAAGTTTACCAAACACTATCATGCTTTTTTTTTTTTTTTTTTTTTCCCAAAAGTACTTTTACAAAAAAGTTTATCAAATACTCTGCTGCTTTATTTCACAGCTGTTTATTCTCATAGCACAACAGAAGCAGCTTTTTTCAAAGCATATCAATACCAAACCAGCCCTTACATTGGTTCGATGAACCTTCCGACTTGATTGTTGATCTCCTTATACAGGATAGCCATTTTGTGCAAGATTCTTTTTTCCTCTTGCCCGGCTGAAATCTTTATGGCAAAGTTGTTACTGAGACCCATACGTGAAGGAACCCTATCCTCTATTTGTATTTATTCTTCCGTAATATACTAAATTACTAACGCTGATTATCCATCTATAAATAAAATGAACGAGTATGTAGGCTATCTGGCCGGAGATATTTTCGTTCTCGATCAACTCTCGAAGACTGAACTAGTGTGTATCCAATGGTAGGAAGGATTACAAATGCTAGTCTTTTCTATTCAATTCTCCTCTCTCTCTCTCTCTCTCTCTCTCTCTCCCCCTCTTTTCAGAAAATCATGAATTTTTCTTCTGCAAGTCCTCCTTCAATGATAAGTATTCATCCTTCATCGCCACCACGATCATCACCTCCTAGTTGTGTCTATCAAAACAATCTTTTCTTTGATCTATCCCCATACTTATTTCTAATATTCCCCGCCACAGTAGTCGTGTACCATATAATGTGCAAAATATTTGGATACCCGACGACCAAGCCCCTTGATCTCGAAGCACAAAGAAATCAACAGCGGTCACGTATTGATCGTCGACCTCCTGCTAATAGTTTCAATCATCCTGCTAGAAATAATAATGAAAATTCCAATCACCATGGTAGAAATATTGATAATGTTCTTCGTCTTGGTCTTCCTGCTGGTCTTATTGAGCTTCCTGCACTACCGGCTGCAAAAAGGCCACCACCACCGCAGTCTTCAACCATCTTTAGGTGTACTACTACTAGTGCTAGCGATGCTACTGATGAGTGTGCAATTTGCTTCGATGATTTTGTGGACGGGCAAGTGTGCCGGTTGCTTGGTAACTGTCAACATTCGTTTCACAAGCTATGCATTGATCAATGGCTAGCCACTGGGGAAACCTATTGTCCCGTTTGTCGTGCTCCTGTTTAACTTTAGTACATCTTAGTCAACTTCTCCTAGTTTCGATATATCTTCGCTAAGTTTCTTGATTATGTGGGTTTCTGCTGTATAATTTTTTGGTTGATACACTAAATGTGGCAATTTCTTAGGAAAATATTGGCTTTTAGCTTTGGGAAGTATGTTTCTGATGATTTAATTTATGTTCATTTATGTAAATATACTAGCTATTTGAATGTGAAAAATTAGTTTATGTATTCTGAATTGTCTAAATGCATTTCCCTAGCCATGGTTTCTAACTGTGTCAAGTTTTCAAGTACGTAAATACATATGTACATATATATGATGTAACTGTAGTGAGTTAGATTATGCAGTATTCGAGTGAGGATCATATGAACACAGTCAGAATTCTTCAATACTTCAAGTCGGCTCCAGGAAATTAAGGGAATTAAGTATTCAAAGAACGACAATTTGAAGATAGATGGATACAATTTATGCATATTGTCAAGCAATATCACTAACAGATGATCAACCTCTGATTAATTTACCTTTCTTGGAGGAAATTTGGGTACATGGTGAAGTAATAAGCAAAAGCGGTTGTTGCATAAGCTGACTGTACAGAAATGGCTAAGGGACATTGTGAACTTTCTGGATAAGGAGGTTGCTGAGAGAACCTAGGTTTTATCTTGAGTTTTTGATGAATTTATATTGTGAAAATAAGGTTGTGATTGACATTGATTATAATCCAATTCAACATACATGTTGAGATGGATAGACATCTCATCAAGGAGAAGTTGGAAGGACAGATTTTCAAGTTTTCATTTGTGAAATTAGATTAGTGGGCAGATATCTTGACAAAGGTTGTTGAGCATGGGCGATGTCTGTGCACCGTAATTGTATACAAAAATCACACAAAAGTGTGTACCAAATATCAATAAGTGTACACAAAAATCATAAACACCACAATAGTATGTCCTAAAGACAGAATTTCGTCCATTGTGCTTATAGTTCGTTAGTCGTCGGATTTTCAGAGTTAGACAATCTATAATTCAAAGTAAGGTTCTAAAAATATTAGGCACTAGTTAGGCGGCGAGCTGAGGCCTAGCCCCTAGATTGATAGGGCCTGGGCAGACTAGACTGATTTATGTAAATTTATTGTGTAGTGTATAAATAAGTGCATATTTATACTTATAAAACATATAAGTGTATTGGCATACATAAATTGCAAAATAAAATGGCATATAAATTATAAAGTATTAGAACATATGAAAACATGGGGAATAATCATATAATGAGTGTCTTGGATTCAACAAGTTTCTTACATTTTATTGAGAAAATAAAATGCAAAAAGAAAATTATTGATTTTCTGTCTAACCTAGGCTGACTAGGCAAACTAGGCAGACACCCAAGCGAGTCTAGAGACACTTTCTTAATTTTCCAATGCTTAGGGAATAATCGGGGCAGTGACTAGCTGTCTAGCACCTAGGAGGATCCTAGGCGGTGCTAGGTGAAATTTTTATAACAGTGTTTCGAAGTCGAAGCACTACAATCTTCGGATTCTGACAAACTTTATATATTTCGTACTCTCAAGACATGACTCAAAATTTGACTAACAAATAATAAAAAGATAATAGAAAAAACTCTTCTATTAATCCCTTTATACGGGTGGGATGCTTGAGTTTATATAGAACTCAAGCCACCTCTTTTGAAACATTGTATAGTTGCCTAAAGTTCCAACAAACATATACAACTCATGCGATTGAATTGGAATTAAAACACTACTATTATTTGTTCATTCACATGTAAAGTAAATATTATAAAATTATAAATTAATATTATAAACATATAATTTCCAATATGAAATTGGAGAATAGAGAATCCTACTCCGAAGAAAATACTATCTAGTCAAATACTTTGTTTAACGATCATGAATTCGTGATCCTTATTTCTAGGTGCAATGCTCTAATCCTTCGTCATTTTTCAGTTTTATTTGCTTCTGTTTTCTTCTTCTTCTTCACGTCCTCCTTCCATGCCAACTCGTCCTTCATCATCATCACCTACTAATTATGACGACGAAACGGCTTTCCGTGTAGTTGGATGGGTTATATTCGTATTATTCTTCTCATGTGTCGTATCTATTTCATGTCGATGTAAGTGTAGCGCCTGCGCCTTTATGCCGAAGCACAACTTCACCGCAGCCACATATCGATCATCAACCTCCTGCTAATTCCAGTAACCCTGCAAGAAATAACAATGTTCTTCATCTTAACCAGCCTCCTGCTCCCAATTTGCATGGTCTTATTGATCTTCCTCCACGACCGCCCACAAACCGTACACCGCCACAGCAGGCCTCGATTGTCTTCACTGTTAAAGTCCCACATCGGTGGGCGCAAGAAAACCAAAACAGTTTAAATATGTTTACCCCACTTTAACTAATACCGAAGCTTTTGTAATAAAATCTCACACTTGACGGATTGGGTAGGTGGTAAAGTTGTGGACAATATCGGTGTCATTAGAGTGGGTTGGGGTTCGGGTCCGTGCCCTACGGACGATTTGAACTCTTAACATAGAGATGACTGCTGAGTTCGATTGAAAACAAGTGGGCCCAACGGAAGCCGACCTTTGAGTTTCAAGGTTAAGGTATCTAACGGGATGGGCCCGGCGATCCAGCGATCCAGAAATCCAACATTCATGCGTAGTACTACTGGGACTATTACTAACGCTGCTACTGCTACTGATGAGTGTGTAATTTGCTTGGATGATTTTGTGGACGGACAAGTGTGCCGGTTGCTTAGTAACTGGCAGCATTCTTTTCCCAAGCTATGCATCGATCAATGACTAGCCACCGGGAAACCCTACTGTCCCGTTTGTTGTGCTTCTATTAAACTTAGTACCATATCTTACTCAAATGGTTCTGTAGTTTAGTTATTTTCCTACTTTTATGTTGTAGAGTTTCTTAATTAAATGGTTTTCTGTAATTTAGTTCTGTCCCATTTGTAGCTAATTTTGATGTTGAAAGGCGAGTCTTGGCGCAAAAGGACGGTTGCTCTTTGTGGCTGATTGATCACGTGGTCTAGTCATGTAAATAGTCTCTTTGCAAAAAAAAAAAAAAAAAAAAAAAACCCAACAAGAGTACCGTGTCTTTTGAACGAGACATATGAACCTTTCTTATGGACAGTTCTGGAAATTGGGATTGCATTCAAACGTTCATAACTTCACCAATGTCTTATTAAATTTCACTCGAGATATTAAATTATACAAGGAAACTGGTGGTTTTAAACCTGACTCTGTCATGTCCTTGAGCAGCATTTCAGCCTCCTCCCACTTCCCATCATTACAGAGAACTCCAATGGTCGAACTGTAGCTGGCCACATTCGGAATCATTCCGTTCCTTCTCATCTCTTTGAGCAGCCTCAGTGCCCTGTAAGAGCTACCTTCTCTGTAGTAACCATGAATCATCATATTGAATATGACATCATTTGGATTCAAATGCTTGTCACTCATTGATTTGAACAGCTTCGATGCTTCCTTCATATCACCTTTTGTGCATGACCCATGAATCAAGACACCGTAGGTGTAAACATCGGGCACCACTCCGGCCTTCTCCATGGAAGAGAATATCTGAAATGCTCTTTCTGTGTCACCAGATCGAACCAAGCCATCGATCAAGATTGTGTATGTCACTTTTGAAGGAGAAACGCCTCTGTCGCTCATCTCTCTCACCAAATTGGAAACTCTTGCAGAATTTTGTGCTCTAGCAAAGCCTTGAATCAAAACATTGTAAGTCACCAAAGTTGGAGACTGTCCACTTGACTTCAACTGATTAAATAAACTCGAAGCCCTGCCCAACTCTCCGACGTTGCAAAACCCCTCAATCAGCGCATTGTACGTAACTACATTCGGACTAATACCCTCCCTCTTCATCCGATTCACAAAGTTATCAGCTTCCCAAATCCTCATTTCCTTGCACAACCCACCGATCACGGTGTTGTACGCTACCACATTGCGAGCCACCCCTCTTTCACGCATTTCATCGAACAGTTTCAGGGCTCTCTTCACTTCCCCATTACTGCAACACTCATTGATCAAACAAGTATAAGTACACACATTCGGAACAACCCCATTACTTTTCATCTTCTCGTAGAGCTCGAACCCATCTTTTTTATACCCTTTCTTGAAAAACCCATGAATCAAAACAGTGTAAGTATACTGGTTAGCAACCAAACCAACCTCCTCTATTTTACAAAACATCTTCTTGGCACGCTCCAAATAGCCATTTTTGCAGCATCCATCGATCAATGTAGTGTACAAAACAACATTCGGCGCCCAACCCAATCCCTCTAATTCAATCAAAAGCTCAAATCCCCTATCCAAATTGCCGGCCTCGCAGCAACTTTTCATCACTATCCCAAAACTATACACATCCAATTCAACTTTGCCCTTAAACTCATCGAAAACCCGCCACGCTTTTCCGTGATCTTTCGCCTTCACGAGAAACCCCAACAGATTATTGAAAGTGTTCGATCTCGGAACGAGGCCCTGCTCAACCATCTGCTTCAAAAAGTAAAGGGCTTGCTCCGGAGACTGAGATTGAACATGGGCATTGACTATTGCTTCGTATAGATGGCCGCAGACGGAGGTTGGATTCAGATTGGGCTGAGTTAAGTGCCCGAGGAGGGAGCAGGGAGTGAAGAACGGTGAGGAAAGGCGGCCGGAGAGGACTTGGAGGAAGAGGGACTGGGCGTGGGAGATCAAGTTGGAGGCGAGGAGCTGGTGGAGAATGAAGGAAATGGATTGATGGGTGTGATGGAAGCCGCGGAGGATGGAGGAGTTGAAGATTGAGAAGGCTTTTAGTGGCGGGCTTTTAACCATTTTTTGAATCAGGAGCTGAGCTTCCCTCGTTAGCGACATTTTCCGGCAACGTCGTTATTTGATCTGCCTTCTTCCGATCAGGAACTTGGATTTGGTAGTTATTGCATGGCCATCGCAAAGTGAGCCGCGTCAAACCCGCTTACAAAACGGCTTATGGTGACTATAGCCCAACGATTCGGGTAAGAGAAATGCTCTGGAGAATATTTTGATAGTGGGACTCCCAGTGAATTTTTTGATATCTTCTAATTTTGATATAGTGTTTTTATAATATTATCAAGAAAATTAATGTTACATTATGCATAAAAAAAAATCTTAAACTTTAATATAATACTCATATTTTATGATAAATATTTATTTGTAATCATTCATGTATTTTTTTATTACAATAAAAAAAATCGCCCATGTTTTATAATAAATACTTATTATAACCATTATATGCTAAAGTTTTTGTCATGTTTTGCTTTCAATAAATTGTAGTACTTTATAATATATGCATTCTTCTATTTTGTATTTTAATATTCTCAAATTTTCAATACAAGTATTGTTCTTTTAAAAGGTAAATAGACACTTAGTTATATGATATATAATAAATTTATTAAATCCGTCTAATCCTCCTAGACCCACCTTCTTGGTGTTAAGTTCTAGCCTGCCGCCCGATTAGCCCTTTAGCAAAAACATGGACCACATATTTTTTTCACGTCATCATTTAACAATCGTACTGGAAAGCCTCTCAAGTTTTGTCAGTACTGCATATTAGACAACAGTATTTAGTTTAAAATTTTAAGTTGTTATAGAGGCAAACCGTATGTATATGTATACCTTGTCTTCCTTTTTCTTCGTGATCAAACGAATGAAATTCTGACTTAAACAATGCAAATCAAGCTAATATATTTACACACACACACACTAACCACACATAATTTTATTTTTCACGTATAAATTCTACTTTTTTGGTAACAAAATAAGATGTACTTTCTCCTCAATAATAAAGAAGGCGTTGTGGACGAAGAACTAACACAATTAAACAAAATTCTCGAGCAATTAATTTTGGAACTACAAAATATCAACAAAGAACAGAATTACAACAAATCGGACATTTGCTGGCCGTAGCAAGCCACTTCTCGATGCATTCTTGGTGAAACGTATGCTTACACTTAAGAACCCGGCACTTGTCTCCTTCGTCGAACTCCTCCATGCAAATTACACATTCATCGCCGCAAATTCCTATTTTTTTGTCCAGTCGGTAAAAGAAAGGTATACCGAAACACATTTGCCGCAACGGCTTAATTCGGACTCGTCTTCTTCCTCCTGGGTTTAGTACTTGGGTTAATGTTCCGGATTCGATGTCGTGCGTTTGATTAGCTCGTTGGTCGACATTGGTCTTGACGATCAAAAATATAAGTATGGCTACTAATGGGATGAGTATGGCGAGTAGGAGCAGTGGCTGAACTTGTGCTGCTGGTGGCAGTAAAGGTGGTGGAGAAGGAGGAAGCGTCGGAGCAGCCGACACCATGGCGAGGTTATGTGAGTGAAAACGTATGCCACTGTAGTTGATCTGTATACCTTTCAAGTTAGGAGTCGTTGCTGTTTTGCGTACAAGGATCAAGGATTGCTACAAATTATATAGTACTTCAGGAAATTGTATTGGTAAGTCCTAAAGGAATAAGGAAAAGAAAAGAAGAAAGGGAAAGTTTCTAATCTAGGGTTTTGAAGCTACAGGGTACACCGTTGGAGGGGTGCGTGTGTGGGTAAGTTAACATATTAGCAATCCGAATAACGTAAGGATAATACCTATATGTGATGGGATGTGATTTATGTATACACTCATGCCTCTTCTGCACCCTTTACAGATAGAAATAAAAACACAATGTACATTTCATGAACTCCATTATTTTTTAATTATTTCGAGAAGAGACAAAAATACAGAACCAAACAAACTTAGCCCAAAAGCAATCAAACTAAAATTTTAGAATTTGAGCCGTGGCCACAATAGGATTGTTAACTAAGCCAAAACTATAAACCGACACAATCGATAAAACTTCGAAGTAATTTTAGATTCGTAAAAGTTAATTTTAGTACTTTTATAAAATCAGTTTCACAATTCAGGCACTTCTATGCTAGATAAGTTACAAAATTTTATGCACTTTTATATGATCAATTTTACACTCTATGCACTTTTACATGATCAATTTCACAATCTATGCACCTTTGCAAAATTAGTTTCAAAATCCCAACAATCCTGCAAGATCATATTCAAAATTCCAGCAATTATGCAAAATCAGTTTCAAAATTTGAGCACCTCTACAAAATTAGTTTTAAAATTCTAGCATTTTTGCAAGATCAGTTTCAAAATTCTAGCAGTTCTGCAAGATTTGTTTCAAAATTCAAACACTTTTGTAAGATGTGTTTGAAAATTAGCACTTATGCATATCAATTTTGAAATCCCACCATTTGTGAAAAATTAGTTTAAAAAATCTCGTACTTTTGCAAGAGTAATTTCAAACTGCAAACTCAGTTTCAAAATTTTCAGCACTTCTGCAAGATCAACTTTAAAATTCCAATATTTTACAAGACCAGTTTCAAAATTCCAGCACTTCTGCAATATCAATTTCAAAATCTAAGCACTTCTCCAAGATTAGTTTCAAAATTTTCATCATTAATTCAAGATCAGTTTCAAAGTTCCAGCATTTCTGCAAAACCATTATCACAGCACCAGCACCACACCATCGTTATCTTGTTTCCACCTCCAATCTCCCTTGGAACTTCCTTTAGTAGCAAAACGCGTCAATCAACCAACCCAAAATCCCAGAATCCAATTCCATTTTCTCAATCTTGTCCATAAGCTATGTACCTCTAGATTTTGTACTACTGCAACAAGTCACTTGCACTTGTAGCAACCATCAAGCAATGAAGGTCGGGGTAATTAAAAAGAAAAACAAATTAAAAAGTTAATTAAAACTGTGATGACGCTCGTAATCTCCACAACCATTCAAATTCAATGGAAATTGAAATTTAAGCCCCAAACGAGAAGTGACTTGCCCCAGGGGAGAGGAGCACTCCTCTTGCCCTTCCTTCACTAACACAACTTTGTTGTGCTCCTCCTGATCCTTTGTGCTTTAGGCCGTGGTGGTCGGTGTAGAAGCCGAGAAGAGAGAGATGAAACGGAACATAGAAATGGAGACGAAGAGAGACGATGGGGGAGAAATGGGGTAGGGGTTTAAAAGTCTTTTTCTAAAATTATAAACATGTTATTAATACTTTTGAGATTTTTATTAAAATATGGATAGGAAAATAGGACAATGGGGTGAGATTATCAGGACTCTTTAACAAATTGTTTATGAAGATAAAACCAACGATAACTAAACTGATCACCAACTAACAGGTTTTGGTCACTTATGCTATTAGTTTGAGGCTTAGATGTTGTATCATTGTTGGTTCAGTGTATAGTTTGGGACCAAACTGCACCGTGCTGACTCCTAGCTCCCCTTTGCATGAAATGTATACCACGCAAACTAGACAATCCTTTTTTCTAAAAAAACAAATTATTATTGTTATTGAGGGGATGAGAGGGTTCTAGACAATTACAATAATTTTTGTTAAGTCTTGCCTGCAGTGCAGAACCAACACCAACAGCAGGACCCATGGCCCTCCTTCTTGCCTCAGATCTCTCAACAGCAACATCAGACCTTGTGTTGATCAACCTTCTGATCTGCTTACTAAAGCTCTTCATCAGCCTTGTCATGGTGTTCTTTGCTCCAAACTCATCCAATCAGGCTTGTTTGGTTTGTGGCAGGGAGTGTGTGAAAATAAATTTAATTAATTCAGAATCTTTTCTTTAACTATAAGAATGTAATTTCATATTGTAATTATATCGTAAACATTATATGAGGTTAATACAAGGAGTCATAATTCTATAGTTTTTAGCTCTTTAGATGCCAAAAGATCCTTAAAAATCATTACAAGATGCACCAATTGTGCATTTTTATTTCAAAAGCCTCAATGAACCCTCCACAACTTGCCAATTATTGTGGTACTTCTTGTATGTGAGATATATTATGCTTACCAACATGTCCATGTCCATGACTTGCATTGAACCGTGCAATGACCCTTCACTGTATTAGTGGAAACAATTATATGAGTATGCACCCTAATGTGGATTTGATCCCTACGATCCTCTTCTCTTAACAACAAACAATTTAATCTACTAATATTATCGCTTGTGAAAAAAATTTATTTGCATCGAACCAAAGTTACCAAACAACCTCATCAACAGCAACAAAAATTTATCTCAATCATCATTGGACTTACCAAAACAAAAATATAATATTAATGTAATTACCACAATATAGAAACTCAATTAAGACTAATGATATTGCGCAAAACCCTTGAAGAAACTACAGAACTAATACCATACTTGGTTGGTGCGTCTTTGATTCTTTGGATATTGACTAGCCACAATTCCGAGTACACGCACCGCAAACAGAAGCACGACAAAGGGGACAGTGCCTATTCCTTGGCAGCCATTCGTCGATGCATTTCTGGTGATACATGTGGTTACACGTGGTCAGCCGGCATACGTCCCCATCCTTAAACTCCTCGAAGCAAATTGAACAATACTCCTGATCTTGATCACTACAAGTACAGCCTTCACTTCTTCGGCAACTATTCCTTGTATATGTGAAAACCGTCGAGGCTTGTTCTGGTGTTTGTGCTTCAAGATCTTGGGTTTGTTCATCAGTTGGGCTATTTTGCCTTTTACAGTACAGTAGAAAGACATAGATGATGCTTAAGGGCAAGGTTACTCGCAATATTATGTGTACTAATTCTGATGCTATTGATGATGGAGGAGGAGGAGGAGGAGGAGGAAGAGGAGGAGGAAGCGGAGGAGGAGCCGCGGATAACATGGGTGGATACTCGTTTACAAGAGGATTTCAAGTTATGAAGCTGTCAATTGGGAGACTAAAGTAAAAGGCGAGAAAAATATAAGAAAAGTAAAGCTTTTTTTTTTTAAAAAAAAAAAAAACAAGAAAAGGGGCCAGAAAAATATTAGAAAGGTAAAGCTTTTTTATTTTATTTTATTTTATTTTTTATTTTTTATTTTTTATATGAAAAACAAAAGGAAAAAAAAACAAGAAAAAAGGTAAAGCTTTAAAGTTGGGGTTGGTAGCCACCATATAGTGGACGTTTGACCAAACTAAGTAAGCTTGCAAGAATCTATCACTACGTGGATTATTTGGTTTACCCTTGCAAAAATGTAATGAACAAACTTTCATAAGCTAGGATTCTAATTCGGAGTTTACTACATATCACACTCTACGGTTAGGTTAGTGGCTTAAATTCAGAAATTAAACTAATTGTAAGAGATGATTTATATAGTAATACAAAAAACATACATTTGAACGGTTTGTAAAAATGTGCTAGTGTGCATTTTCTAGAACAACCAAATTTGAAAGAAAATGTTTCGGCGTAATGAATGAAAAATTGACATTTTCAAGAATAGAAGTGGAAATTAAAGAATAAAAATAAAGAAAACATTGTCGTTTGATAAAACTTTACTACCAAACACGTTTCCATATTATTTTTAATATATTTTCTTTCTTAGACAATCATTCTTGAATTAGACTGACAAATTCATTCTCAAATCATAAAAATTAAAATATCTATTTGTTGTTATTGTTTTCCACAATAGTTATGGAAAAAAATTGTAAAGGGTTACCAGATGGCGATAGTGTTTTAAAGCTTAACAGAATAAAATCAAAATCTCATATTTACAATGGGAATTATTATTGGCATTCTAAAATTCTCATTTTTCTCTCCAAACTTTATATATTTATAAATAAAAATACACTTATGAGGAGTGCAAAATGAGATTTTTAAAGTGCAAGTAACAATTCTTTTTACTATAAGCCTTAAATAAGATTAATGGACAATTTTAATATTTAAAACATACATTAAGAGAAATATTACAAGTACAATAATATAGACCATATAAATCTCCCAGTCTAGATGATGATCTGTAATAGTAAGGACACCTGGACACTTACCTGGCGATCGAGCCATATATCAATGCATTGTTTCCTGAACCTGCTCGTTCCTTGTTTTGGTTAGAATTCGGATCATCTTGATCTTCATAAGCTAGTGACGATCCTAGACCAGGGAGAATGAGAGGTAGCTAGGATCCAGAGCCAAGAGAGAACATGCACAGCGGTATACGCAGAAGAAGATTAACAACGATGAAATTGATGTATAACGGCGAAGAGGCACGGACATAGTGTGTGAGAAAGAGAATTTATTTGAGAATAGGGTCTCACGTAGGAAAGTTTTTGAAAGTTTTTAGTTATATGGAATGGTTCCACTCCTAATTGTATCAAGATCTTTTGTGAGGAAACCCAGCACGTGGCTAGATATGCAAATGATTAAGTTGGGACAACTTCATGGTTAATTAGTAGTGAATCATTTAGTCATTGACCGAACTCTCGATAAGAATTTGATTTGGTTTGTGTTCTTTTAATTGAATTTTAATGTATGCGCTTTCCATTCCTTTTAATAGTAAATTAGAAAGAACACCCTAACAACCATAAATTTTATAAAAGAGCACGTCAATAGCTCAAAAATAATAAAATAATAAATAATAAAAACTCCTCAATTATCCAGTTGTCATGTTCTAATTGATTATTTGTTGTTGTGTGCTATTCTTCCAATTGCAAAGCAAGAAGGTTACTTTCCTAAACAAATTTACAAATGAATTTGAAGAATATAAAGATTGTAAATGGAAAGCGTACATGTGACACGCATTTTGGAGCATAATAATTCTATTCCTAACAAATGATACTTTATGCTGTTTAATACAATATTCTAATAATATTTCTCTTTACCAGTAAATAATTTTATGTTTGAATCTCGTAACAAGTTTGAGATCAAATTATTCCGTCCACCTTTTAATGTAAATATATTGTTTTATAAAAAAAAAAAAAAAAGACAAATAATACTTTATGTATAGAATTAAGTTACACCATAAAGTTTCCGTTTTAACGAAGGGGAGTCATCTATAAAGTTTCCATTTTAACGAAAGGGAGTCATCCTCAAGGGAATTATTTTAAATTAAGAACTATATTTATTTGTTAAAAACATAGTTTTAAGGTAATCAACTACTCAAATGTCTAAATTCAGAGGGGCAAAGATCTTAAACTTTTATTAGAAAAATTATTAACAAAAATACTGTATTTGATTAACTTCTTTTATCTACTTTCGTAATACATATAGTTTTTGTCATCAAAATATTCAATGTTTGATTTTTCAGAGTCAGTCAAACATATATTATTTCATTTTGAATAACAAACGTGTAAATGAATTTCTGTAAAACCTTTTGTATTAATTTTGGGACATTAATGTATAACTTAGTTTGCGTTTTGTATTCATTGAACGTGAACCTTAATTATTTGACATATTTGGGAAAATGCATCTCAAAAGATAAGCAGCTCATGGTACATATTCACTTTTGTATACAAATAATTACATAAAAGGTTATAAATCTATGAATTACTTAAATGGATTAGTTGTCCAATTATGGCCTATCCCAAAAGGATGTCTTTGTGCAATGTTCAAAAACGAAATTATAATTTGAAGGATTTCTTTATTGTTTCAGCTGAGGATCGGTACATTGTTGTGTGACACTCTTTTTCCCTTCGACTGAGTTGAAATTCCCGGCAAGATTTTTATCGAGACTCATTATGCACTCTATCCTTAGGTTGTACGTATTCTTCGTTATTTAATGAATATCGTACCGTTTCTCAAAAAAAAAAAAAAATTGAATATAAAGATAGCAAAATTGGGTTTTTCCTATATCAGTACACCAAAGACAAAGTGAATCATACAACAAACCCAACTTCAATTTTCTTTTGTCTTCGATCGATCACAAGCTTCAGAATGTTTTACGTGAATTTCTTTGCAGCAGTTTTTGTTTTCACCTTTATGTGTCATGGTAGTAGGCACGCGAGTGGTACTAGAGATGTGCCCTTTCAACTAACTACAAAGTTTCATATAGCCCAGATCATACACAGCTTCTTAACCAAAACGATGAAATTGTGCTTTCGATAGACGAACATTCAGATTCTTCTTCCTAACTGTCTTAGAATACATGTGTGTGTGTGATTTCATGTCCCCCATGCAAAAAATTCACGTACCTTTTTAAACAAAAACAAAAAAGCTGTGTGTGTAGCTTTGTTTGCAGTTTATCTTGTACTTAATTGACGGTCTAACATTTTTTTTACATATTGCAGGCACTGGATTTAGATCCATAGAAAGATATGGTCCTGGATTCTTTGGTATTAAATTGAAGATTCCAGCTAAGAAGACCACTGGAATCATCACAACCTTCTACGTAAGAACTCCATACCCGTCTTCTTTTCAATTCACATTTTCTAGCCATTACTACCTCAAGTTTTGACTTGTTTTTATGGCAGTTAATTTCGCAACCGAATGATGATGAGCAACGACATGAGGTGGATTTTGAGTTCTTAGGTTCTGATACACAGCATTATCTGCTAAGCACAAATGTGATTTCCAATGGCAACTTACATAGAGAGCAGCAGTTTGCTTTATGGTTTGATTCTGCTGCAGATTTCCATTTTTACCAAATTCTGTGGAATCGACACCAATTAGTGTAAGCTTTCTTTTCATTATTTTCTTTCAGTATCATATTCGGGTTAAGTTTGCGATATTTTTTCAATCAAGTATGTGACAGATTCTCATTAATTTACGCTTTCTAAAATTTATTTTTCAGGTTATTTGTGGATGGCACCCCTATAAGAGTGTTGAAGTATGGCCCAAGTATTGAAGGGATTTTTCCAACAAAACCCATGGAAATACAAGGCACTATATGGAATGCAACATGGGGATCCCAAGGAAAAGCAGTTAACTGGGGTGTAGGACCTTTCCATGCCTACTATCAAGGATTTGGCGTTGATGGGTGTTCTGCGAAGTTGAATAATCCTCGAGAATGCTATAGTCTCCGTTATGAGTGGAACAGAAAAGAGTTCTGGGAATTAAACCAGCATCAGCAAAATGCATATGAACATGTTAGAAGGAAGTACTTAACATATGACTGCTACACGAAAACCAGCAGTCCAACCCCAGAATGCAAGATCAACTACTAGAAGTCTAGAACACATTATATCACGTTTTATCTTGTCAAACATTGCGTGATTATAAATTGATGATTATAATTAAGTAAAGGTTTTATCTGCACCAAAATGTGTACATTTCCTGAATTGAACAAAGATCCAAAGCAGAGTTTGACTATTTCTACTTTGTTTAGGGAGGTTTAAATTCTTTTATATTTCGATCATTAATTGGAATTTGTATAAAAGACAAATTACATGAAATGTTTGACAAAAAAAAAAAAAAAAAAATTACATGAAATGGATTCGTCTTTGAAAAATGAAATGTATAATGAAATCGAATAGTATATTAGTTGAGAACAAACGTCTGACGGATAAATTCTCACGTTTAGTTAAATTTGTCATTAACGCAATTTGAATCTAAAACTTCTAAGTAAAAAAATTATGTAAGACTTTGAGTCCTAAATTTAATTTTCTAAATCAATTGAGTTATAAAAACTTTGTGATAGCACTGCTAAAAATCAAACTCAACAACTCGGTAGGTCCAAATCCAATCAAAACAATTGGCCCAATAATGCATCATACTATACCTTGCAACCAAACGGCAACGTTTCTTAGCATACAAAAGACGATTGACAATTGGTGTTCAATGTCGGCCAAAAAAATTGAAATAAAAACGGATATGATATTGGATATATTCAGTCAGCTTCACAAATTCCTTTCGCTCTTTGGCAAGTTTCGTTCCGTTTCGTTTCGCCTCTCCGATTCAAAGGTAAAGCTTCAGTCTTTCCATCTCAATTTTCGCTCTCCCTTGATTCTCCTTTGTCAATTGCAACGTAGAACAAACCCTAAAACTTAAATCCCATAGCACGGACAATTTTCGATTCTCTGTTTCAAAAAGCTCGAAATTGTTATGTAATTTGTTGTAATCGCGACTCGATTCTATTGCATTAATTTCTGCTCTCTGGTTGTAATTAGACATTTTATTAGGAGTTCTAAAAACCCTAGAATTTGAATTACATTGTTGAGTTATCGAACCCCTTTTAAGTTTAATAACAGTAGGGTTTTGTATTGATCGAAAATTCGATTTATTTCAAGTAATTTGTGTGTTATTGTTTTGTGGGTGTCGTAGTTTCTGAGAGTTTTGATTTAGTTTGTCTCTTTAGGGTTTGATCTTGGAATTTCAAGATGCCTGCTACAGCGGGAAGGGTTCGCATGCCCGCGAACAATCGGGTACACAGTAGTGCCGCCCTTCAGACCCACGGTATATGGCAGAGTGCAATTGGGTATGACCCCTATGCACCCAACAAAGATGACACCAAGAGCACTGCGCAACCCAATGTGTCGAACGATGAACCGGATGGTGAGAATGCATATGCTAGCTTCCAGGGCCTCCTTGCGCTTGCCCGTATAACTGGGTCCAGCGCTGACGAGACTCGTGGGTCTTGCAGCAGGTGCGGCCGTGTTGGGCACCTCAAGTTTCAGTGCAGGAACTTTCTGAGTGTTACGGAAGATAAGGAGAGAGAGCCTGAAGGGATTCAGGGTGATGTTGCATCAGAATTGGCTAGGTTGAAGAGGAAGATTGGTAGGACCAGTGGTAAAAATGTCGAAGAGAGTGAGGAGAGTGAGGATGAGGATGAAGACAGTGAGAGCGAGGATTCGGATTATGATTCAGAGATTGAGAAGATCATTGCTCAAAAAAATGGGTTAAAGGTTGGTAAAAAGGAGAAGTCGAAAAAGAAGAATGATGATTCAGATGATGATGGGTCAGATTCAGATTCTGGGAAGAGGAAGAAGAGAGGAAGGTCGAAGAAGAGGAGGAGCAGCAAGAGGAAATATGCTGATGATTCAGATGATTCAGATGAAGGTAGGAAGAGAAAAAGGAAGGAGAAGCGTAGGAAGAGGGATGAGTCCTCGGATGAGGATGGTGAGCGTCGGCGGCAGCATAGGAAAAGTAGGAAGGAGAAGAGGAGGAGGAGAAGTCATCGGCATTCAGATGATTCTGAATCTGATTCGTCTGATGATTCTCGTAGACACCGCAGTCGGAGGAGCAGGAAGGCAGCAACACCATCTGATTCTGATGATGATTCACGGGTAGGTAGGGGCAGGAAGCGGTCTGAGAAGAAAAGCAGCAAACGCCTTCACAAGGATGATGAGTAAATCTATCTAGGAATGGATTTGAACTGTGTACACCAGCACGTCATTGAATTCTATGTAGTATATGCTTTTGCAACCTTTGTATTGCTTCTGTTAATTTGCTCGGACAAGCTTCTGTTGCGTTTGGATCTTTTGCCTTCTGGGATGAAACTGTCACTTTGCTGATTCAGAAGTTGGAATTTATCTGGTAATGTGTATTTAATCTTGTGCGATTTCTGTTAAAAGTGTCTACACTTCATACCGTGTGATCATGTATGCATCTTTTTCTCATTACCTATCGTTTATCAGTTGTGATTGTTTCGATGTGTTTTTCTATGATTGCGTATTTAGTTTAGAAGGTTCTCTATTTTTATCTTTGTTGAATTAGGGTTTGTTTTGAAGGTTCTGTATTTTAATCTTTGTCAAATTAGGGTTCTTTGTCGCTCTAGATTGTTTCTGACAATCTTCTAGTTTATATGCAAGCATACAACATTGTTTTTAGCACTTCAAAATTATACATTTGTGAAGATATTTTGCATCATCTTATGTAGAATTGTTATCTTATTGCCATTTTTCTCAGCTCTAAATGTCATGTAAAATCCAGGCACGCTGCATTCGTCGACATTCATCACCTTGTGCGTGTGTTAGTTCCATTGTATTAAAATACTCACCTCGGGGCGCGCCTAGGCGGCCTCGGAGGCTGGACGTGTGGGTTGCCGCCTCAGTTTTGCAAGAGTGGACGGAAGGTGTCGCCGGAGTGCACCCACGCGGCGGCGGCACACCTTAAGGCGTCATAGGCGTTTTTTTCCCCTATTTTGGGCCCAATTTTTTGAAAAATAAAATACCCAAACTAACCCCCTTGTACCCCTTCCCACCGTCATCGTCTCTCTGCGTTTTTTCCCGATTTACCCTCTCTCGCGCGCGACAGGCGACAACCGCTACACCAGCCTTCGGCAGCACCTGCCGCCAGCCTTCAACAGCATCGTCGCCACACGCCAGCGACAGCACCGCAACACCCAAATGCCCAATTTTAACGATTTGGGTTTCTGAATCCTGATTTTGATATTTTTTTTATATAATATGCGTGTGATGTGTTTTCTTGTGTATTATAAATTTATAATTAGTATTGCCATGCATTATAATTATATAATATATAGTTCCATTGATTAATGAATTTGGATGATATTATCTTTTGAATGTCAATAGATTTGGTTAATAGTACATTTTGAATGGTAAATTGATAATAGATGTTTGTTTTACAAAGTATTATTTTTGGGAATTGATATTAGCATTCTAAAAATCTTATTTTGCACTCCAAACTTACTATAATTAGAAAGAAAAATACACTTGTAAAGAGTGTAAAATGAAATTTGTGAAGTGCTAATAACAGTTCATATATATAATATAAAACATATATATTAGAAATTTAAGGCGCCTCACGTCTAGGCAGGACTATCCATGGGACGTCTCGCCTTTTAGTACATTGGTTAGTTCACATTTCATATGACCTGTTCGGAAGCTTTAATGGAAGAGCATTGAGATTAAACCTTTTGGCCGGGATTTCGTCTCCAAATTATACATTTTTCTTTGAATTGAAGGGAACTAAATTAAGTAAATCTATGCTCCAATTATCAAAAGAAAGCAATTTATTGATCACATTAAGGAAGTCAAGGATTGCTATGCGGCTTGGATTAGTAACAGTAAAAACTATAATCTGACGGCAACTTACAGATCCCGTGTTTCTGCATAATACAAATTTTCTGTTTTCCCTTGGATAAGAAACACGAAATCATGAAAAATGGGTACGACTACCACTTGCCATTTTTTATGTAAGAAGGGGGAGATTCTCCAAGAAAAAAAAGGCACCAACAGGCTAAGACGGGATTGAAGGCGCGCTCTCTACCTCTTGCCGATTTGATGACTAATCTTGTGTTGCAGCTCCCTGGTTGAGCTCTGCAAACCTCATGCCAACACGCATGGAATGCTTTAGGAACTTCTCGGCACATCGCCTGACACAGGTTTCCTCTTGCTTCTGCAGCGATTTGTGCTTAAAGGTGTCGACACAATCATTGAAGCATCTCTCAACAAGTGAGTTATACATCCTCAAACTGCAAGCAAACACATACTGTAAGCGGGTTGGTCCTGTCCTTTACAATCACAATGGCATCAGAAAAGCTCATTCAAACAAATCCTATGCAGAAACTAGGCAAAACACTATCTCAAGACTACGGGAACAGTTCTTTTTCTTACAAATAAGCATCCAACTTAGAAGCCAGGTACCAAGAAAGAATACCTTTATTACGAAAAAACAAGTAAACATAAAATGGAACAGAACAAGCTGTACAAAGTCCGAAAGGAATCACACAATTTGTTGTAGAAATGCCTAAATGAAAAAACGGAGAAAGAACAAGCCGTACACGCTTATGACAGAAGGTACAAGATAATTTCTTACGGTTAAAAGCAACAAGGTTCAGGTTAACCAGTATCTCAACTAATTTTCTTTTTATTAATTGGGTAAAACTCATTCACTCGGGAATTCACACCATTTGCATCAACACAACTAATGTAGTTCCCAAAACGTCCAGAAGCAACACACATAAGTTGCACTGGTTTTAAGGAGAACTTCTATGTGGCTTCACAATAAGAGTGTTCACAAAATTAAACCAAGTGACCCACATCGTACAAAAAGGAATTGTGAAGCAACAAATCTGAGTCGATCAAATGCCTTGACATTCCATGCTCTTCACAAAGATACTAAGGCCTCGTTTAGTGCCTAGGACTCGAATGGGTTGGACAACTCACAAGATTCATAACACGTAATAATGTAGTTCCCAAAACGTCCAGAAGCAACACACAGTTTGTTGCACTGGTTTTAAGGAGAACTTATATATGGCTTCACAAAAAGAGTTTTCACAAAATTAAACCAAGTGAACCACATCCTACAGAAAGGAATTGTGAAGCAACAAATCTGAGTCAATCCAATGCCTTGATATTTCATACTCCTAACAAAGATACTAAGGCCACGTTTAGTGCATTGGACTTGAATGGATTGGACAACTCACTTATTGAGGGAATTTGAAGGAGTCAATGGAGACCGACTTCAAAATTTTATTCAGGTAGAAGATGGATGCATTAGGAGGGAAATTGTTCCCTTCCAATCCCGACAAAATGGTTGTAAGTTAATTCCCTTATGGTATGCTTAGACTTTAGATTCAATTGTTAAAAATGCACTACAAGAACACTACCAATAAACTACACAAGCACTACAAAAGCTACTACTAAAACACAAGAAATGCACTACAAAGGGACTAAACAAAGGAATCTCAAACAACACCTCTCATTTCAAGTTCTTAAAAATGTATTGCATCTAGTCGTTTTCAAGTCCCTCTATCTAAATTATCCAAGCAGCCCCAATTATAAACTAAACGTGGCCTAAAAAACAAACATTTCAGTAGGAATCTAACCCCAACCGAAAACACGAGGCATTGCGTTACAGAGAACAGATTGAAGCAGGCCAAAGAATTGCCAACTGACCTACCATCCAATATATTAAAAATGCAAAAACAAAAGCCAACCAAGATCTAAGACATCAATCGTGCACTACCAAAAATTCTACTGTAAACCCACAAACCCTCATCTCATAAATTGGAAAAATTTGCAAACTTTGATGGCTATATTTTTACTACGAAGAACCAAATTTCGAATTTTTCATCATATTATTGACCTGAAATTCACATAATTTAATAACCCGATGAGAAATTTTACGAATTCGAAGTGGAAATTAAGCCAATGAATCAGAGAGAGAGAGAGAGAGAGAGATGACCTGTCGCGGATCTGGAGCTGGTCGATCATGGTGGCCATTCTCATCTTATCTTCCTCTGGAAGTGAATCCAGATCTCCTATCATGCTCTTGTCCATCCCGGATTGTATCGAATTTCTAAGATTTCAGCTTAATTGCCTCACTCTCTGGGGAAAATGAGGAAGTTAGGTTAGGGTTTATGGAACAGAGTTCGCGCAGTAGATCTCTGTCTTTATAGGGAGGTAAAACCCTAGACTCCTTCTTGTCCATCCCAGAAACGTGTAACGGCACCGTTTAGCCACTTCGTCTTCTTAGCCGTTGGATTTTTAGGATGCTATGGGGAATTTAGAAATTGGGTGCCTCACAATTTTTGTTGTGATTAAAGTGGATATTTTGTATTTATCCTATGTATTTAAACTATTTATGAAAAAAAAAGTGGCCATTGAACCGGAAAATGGGGCCGGTCCGACTTGGAGAAAACTCAAAAATGCAAGAACTTGTCTTTGATTAGACCCGTTTGGTTCCCGGTTTTTTACTTTAAAATATAGTCGGACCGGTTATATATATAGTTAATTTTTTTTAACGTACCTTAATTTACATATGTTATTGTTGAAAACTTACATAAAATTGGTTTACTCCCACGTAGTGTCTCAATCTAATGATACAATAAGTGTTGAAAACTTTACATATCTTATTAGTTTTATTGAAACGGGACACCTTAGTGACAGTGAACTCGTTCAATGTAAATTATTCTCTTGTCACTATACAGCCTGCACAAATTGTAGAACTAGTTGCACAAAAGCTCCTTCATTCTCTCTCTTCACCACTTTTTTTTTTTTTTGAACAAACGATATTATCTACACAAAGATGAGGAGGTGGCCTCACAATGAGCTAGCAATATTGTAGTTCAAATTCATCTTTGGTAGGAATCGAACCTAAGACCTCTCACTTACAAATAAAGAGAAATACTGCTAGACTATAGTATTAAGTGGCTTCACCACTTAAAAACATAGGTATGAAAATAAATGAGTGATGAGAAGGAATGGGTATGGTATGAATGACCTCGCTATATTAACGAGATACCTTAATTTTCCTAGTATATGCCATACCCAAAAAATATGAGACCCGCCTATTCTTTGGTTGTTAGTTAACACATGTTTCTGAATGATACTCATATTCCTTCTAACTCTTTGTAAGTAAACATCCACTAGGGTTTTGTCCAATTTAAGCTAGGGATCCATAATATTTTATATTTTGAGTAAACATGCCCTTAAGGGTGTGTTGGTTACACCAGATTATCTTGGACTAGATTAGCTTTAGGGACTAAGTTAGACTGATTTAAAATAAACTAAGCTCGACTAACTTAGTAAAGCGTTTGAAGTAGTGCTAGACAAAGAATGAAGATAATCAAAACTCTAATGTTATATTGTTTTGATTCATACGTATTGGCAAGTATAAACGGGGCCCAATATAGGGTTTCGTTGTTTAGAACGTCTCTAGAGCGTCTGACATGAATTATAAGACATTTCTCACCACGTTTTGAACATAACTAATATTTATTATTCATTTTCTTTTTCTTCTAATGAAATACAAGTTGGGTTGGGATCTAAAACTAACAAGGCAAATTCTAAATCAAAAATTGCAATCAACAAGTAACGATGTAGCAATTAGAAAGTCCAAACCTTAACGTTCTCCCTAAGTTAAGCTGACACATTGATTAAGCAACAGTTACAACTTCAATTCACTCATTTAATTCTCACTTGCAATCAAAGCAAATACCACTTTTAGCGTTGACACGTTCACATGCACACCATTGAACTTGATCCACGGGCACCACCTGATGCAATTGATGCTGCGTTGCATCTTCCGTGATAGGAGTTTTAACAAAATACTTTGATATGGTTTATTTTAATAAAAAATAATATTTTAATTCTAAAAAATCAATCATAATATTATTAACTTACAATATTTTTTTATTTTTTTAATTAAAATTTCAAATCATTTTTATTAATTTTCATTTTCGTAAATCCATCTATCTCCATAAAATAAAATATCACAATATCATCCAAAACCCCACCAATTTGTGATTTGTCACCATTTTGTTAGTCACACTGCAAACACGGAGCAGAGAGAGGAGAGAGAGAGGAGAAGAAAATGCCGAGAAGCAGTTTCGCAGGGTCGTTAACAGGGCCGAAGGTCGACGTGATGATCGACTTGGGCAACCCCTTCTTCAACCACACCGTCGACGGCTTCTTGAAGATCGGAACCGTACGCTCCTTTTTTTTTTCAAATTTATTTTTATTTACCGTCAACATTTTTTTTTTTTTTTTTTTTTTAAAGTTCTGGGTTTTGTTTGATCTTTGGAATGGAAGCTTTGGAATCAAACGGGGTCGTTTTGGTTGGTTTGGTTTCAGGTCGCTGCTACCAGAGTTGTTGCAGAGGATGCTTTCTCGGCGGCCAAGAAAGGTACCGCTATCTATCATTATTGCAGTCCAACTGTTTGGTTCCCGAGAAACGCTGAGAAAATGCGAGTGGGAAAGTATTAACTTTCATATGCTCATCATATTGTGATGTACTCTGTACTCTGATGGTGATGACTGTATTTATTGCGGTTGTTGAATGAGAATTTTGGTTCTTGGTGATTTTTGCAGGGAGAATTTCAAGTCACGATTTTGAGCACACTGTGAGTAACCAGACCAATCCCTTGTTTAATTAAGTCCCGTTTTCAATTTTGTTGGTTCCTTGAATGATCTAGGATTTGTTGCTACTCTTAATCGACGTTGAGCTTGAAAATTTCCTGTTTTGAAACTCATCCCCCTTCGATTGTAAGTGTTGTGCTCGATAATCTTGCTCGTTTCGATAGGATGAGCGCTGTTTATATAAGCGCTGAGGTCTAGTTAACTTTGTTTGGTATGGTTGTGCTCGGACTTTGGGCCCCTTGTAACCGGAAAAAATATTAGTAGCTACTTTCAGTTAGTTCAGCATCTTCAGTTGTTGCTCAATTGATTTTGTTTAGTAAGATCTATCGATTTGTTTAAGAGTTGATCGGTTGTTTGTTCATAGAAGAAAGCTGGGGTATAACACAATTTACTAATCCTGCTAATTGAGAGTACGGTCTTTGCAGTTGAAGAAGATGTGTAAAGAAGGTGCATATTGGGGTAAGTTGTGTTGTTTTTCATTGTGAGTTAGATGTATGTACGTCTGGATGAGATTATGCTCAGCTTCCGGGAGAATTGCTTCGGCTTCCCTACTTTTGAAAATGGAGGACTGCAGCAACAATTTCTTCTTGTTACACTGACAGGAACCATTGCTGGAGTGTACGTGGGAGCAGAGTATGGTATTGAGAGGGTCCGTGGACACAGAGACTGGGTATGTTTGTTCTACTTCTAGTCTCTAGATAGGTAGTTCTACTCTATGAGCTGTTTAGGAAAGGGCTAAATAATTTGGTTTTCGGCTGAAAAATTCGAACATCTATGTTCCACAGAAACCTGTTGAGCGTAAGTTTTCATGCTCATTCATCTTAGTTTGCACATGGAGCTTCTAGATTTGGGAAATTGTTTCAGATTGTCTACTTGCTAATCTAAAAACTCTGAACCTCTATGTTCCCTAGATCCTCCTTTTTCCATAATTTGGGTAATTGTTCGTTTTCAGTATGCGCAAGTAGCTTCTAAAGTTACCTTTAGGATGTTGTGCTTAGTATTTTTCTTGTGAAAGGAGCTCAGGTCGAACCAAATGCATTCCAATTCAAGTATTCAATGACTTATTTATCCCAGGACTAAGTTCGAATCGTTGAAACATGATTTTGGAACTGTCAAAGAGTTCTTGTTTCCTACTCGACTCTGTTAATTGTCAGTTTGTCACAAAGCTTCAAGCATGCCATTCCAAGCTCATTTTTATTTAATTTTGGATTTCAACTGGAACTTCTGCATCTGCCAACTCCTGTTTTGATATCCTGCAGAAGAATGCCATGCTCGGTGGTGCATTGACAGGGGCTCTAGTATCTGCAGCCAGCCACAAGAACACGGATAAAGTTCTGGTGGATGCAATTACAGGAGGTGCCATTGCAACCGCTGTGGAATTCATTAACTATCTCACCTGAACATGGACGTGATATTCTACCGGATCTCTCTGTAGATCCCGAAGAACTATGTAGTAAGGTTCTTGTGTCATCTTCCTTATGAATAAGTAGCATTGTATAAAGAATGTTCAAGGGTTCTTCATGTAAACTACTGAAGGTTTTGATACAATGGATTATGAATCTTCTAATTTTATCATTCTTGAGCAATATGTTGTATTCACCGAAGAACAAATTGAAATTATCTGTGCATAACGACCGGAAAAGCATTCAAACTTCAAGATCATCAAATTCAATGAGTAACCGATGCCCTGTTCATCTTATTATTTTCCATTTACAAAATTGATAAACATGTTGTGCAAGAATGAATATAAATGCATCAGAACACCTTAGAAGTTACAACTATGTTACAAATCGGAATCAGGTTTGAAACCGCTCGGCAAGTTTCATCAGACTATAGGTTTCTGCAACCGGCCTGGCTCCTCCGAGAATCCTCTTCAAAGGTTTGAAACATAAACTTTGGCTTTCACATAAGCCTTAATCAAAGTGTTGTATACAAAAGTATGTCTTGAATACTTGGCTTTTGCAAGTTCATCGAACAACTTCTCAGCATTCCCTACATCACCCTTCTCAGCAAAACCCTCGATTATCGAAAGAGTGGTCTCCAACCATGGGGCAGAATTCCTCACCACGTTGCTCATCATCGAACTCATCCGCAACTCTAGAGTCTTAATGGCTTCCTCTACCAGTCCTGCTTTTAAGCAACCCAAAGCAAGATGCCGGAAAGTTATGGCATTTGGTTGGCACCCAACCGTCTTTATCTCCCTGAAAAACGTTGGATGCTTTATCGATTAGGCCATGCTTGGCATAGACAGATATCATAGAATTGAACTGCTCAGTGGTTTTCAGCCCTTTTACTGACTTCATCTCCAACCAAAGTTCTTCAGCTCGGTTGAGTTGTCCGATTCTACCAAACGCTTCAACTGCCAGCACGTAACTTTTAGACCTAGCATGGGGGAGTTCTTTCAGTAAGCCCCAAGTTTTCTCTAACTGCTTCTCCTTCCCTAAATACCCATACAACATAATCAAAACATCTAATGTTGACCAGTTATCACTCGTAACTGACTTCTCCAAGGCATCAACATACACTTCAGCGGCCGCATACAACCTTGCCACTGCATGGGCAGTAGCTATGATGCAGTAAGATATCAGAGTATACCATCATCAATCCCTCTATTGAGTATTGAGTATTGGAGGAGCTTCTTCTTGCCTTGCTCCTTGACTATTGGAGGAGCATTAAAACACAGGTGTGTGTGTGTGTTTTGTTAACGTAAGAGATAAACGACATAAGAACATCCGTCTTTCTATTTTTTTGGGCTTTTTCTAACCCATCAATTTCTTTTGAGTCAACCAAATAGTAGTCCCGGCTTGCAACTTATGTTGTGAGGTATTGTTGTCTGAAAAATTAAGTACGCATGTATATTTTATGTGTGTGCGCGTGCACACCTCCGCATGATGTTAATATCTGTGGATCATCTATATATATATATACGTAGATGTATGTGTGTGTGTGTCTGTTGTTATCTGCGACATACCATTTCTATGCAGGTTCTGAAAGTTATTCATGAGCTTTATAAGCACATTTCATAATTTAAGCTGTCTGTTTTTGGTTCTTTTTCATTAGGTCATTAGCTACTGAATGATGGAGAAACGAGGACCATGCCACTGATTTTGGGGTTTTGCAGGGAGTGCTGATGTACTGATTTTCTGGGATTTTTTTTGTCCTTGCAGGATTTTTGGTCTTTGAAATGGTACGTGCTGTTTTTAACGTTTTCGTTCCCACGTGTTCCGTTCTTCGTTGTTTTGATTCTCATTTTTCAGTGTTCGGTAAGGGAAATTTTTAAAAATAGTTGTAGTTTTTTGAGAAAGTTGGCATTTTTAGTTATATTCTCTGTTTAATCCCAAATGTAAGACTGGAAAATAATTGAAATGATGTTTTTTTTTTTTTAAACTCCTTTTAATTTTTTTTTTTCTGGGATTTAAAACCATCTTTTCCCGATTGGTTATAAGGGTTATGTTCTCTATAATTGGTTCCCCTAATTTTGATTAGTTTTAAGTTTTGTCTTCTGTGCTGTAATGAGAGATTTCTGTTGGCCTTCGGATTTCGGCATGGGAAAGTTCACTTGTTTGGCTAATTAGATTACGTATGACTACGATTCTTTATTTAATTGTTTTGTTTGCATTCGGGTGTGATGATCTAAATTTTATATGTTTGGAATTATTCACTTAAAGCACCAATTTGTTACATTCAAGTCTCCACCCCACATTTCACAAGTTCAAATTCCATGGAAGTCGGTTCTGCAGATTGTGTCTGCAATTAGATTAGAGATCAACCGCTCTTTTATTATCATGCGAAAGATTGCTTTTGGGAAGGATCTGAAGCAGTTCCTCTCCGTATGTTTACTCTCTGTATGTTTATTGCCATGTAGCTCTATCTTTTCTAATTGATGGTGTTCATGTTACATTGCGATTCATGATGATGAATTAATTGTTTCTCGATTTGTAATTGTTTGTAAATAATGTGGCATATTTGAATTGCAATCTGTGTTTGTATGAAAGGGATGGCATATCATGTTGCTGACTTAATTGTTTATGTTTTTCATATTTGTGATGGTGTTATGAGCGATTAAGTGATTGTTGACCTGTGACTTTGTTTGGAGCTCAAATTTTGTGAACATTTACATTGGATTGTATTGCATTTGGTTTGATGTTGTTTTGGTCGACAATGCAGGTATAGGAGAAACAAAGAGGATGACACTTACAAGTGCCCCTCCCCCATCAACCTTCTTCAAATTTGGATCACAAGAAGGGAGCAACATAGGTACTGATCATGGTGTTCATAGGTACTGATCATGGTGTTTTCCTTCTTCATTTGGACATGGTTAATGTAAATAATTGGACAAAAGAGCCAAAATCACTGATAATATATATATATATATATATATATATATATGTATGTATGTATGTATGTATATGTATGTATGTATGCATGTATGGGTTACACAGATGCTCAGACATGCCACCCAAGCCTAAGCATTAGGAAAAGTTTGTTCCCCTTGGTGATAGAATTTGACATCTTTCAATACACGATGTAGGTATATTGTCAATAACAAAGTTGGGATTGTTTTTATTTTTTTATTTTTAAACAAATGATATTATCTTCTTTCGGTCTACAATGGATGTACATTCCATTGGCAACTCCCGTTCTTACATCTTAATTTCCATGTAATTTTTTTTTTTCGATTTAATTGGGTTCGCAAAATTTGGAATTTCGGTGTTGATTTTGGTGTTTATGTCAATCTGGGTTTGAAATTTGAGTTCTTGGCAATCGGAATTTTAGCAAATTTTGTAGAATCTGTTAAAGGGGTTTATGTTTAAGACGAGAGTAGTGCGGGCTCTTTCTTGTAGTGAAATATGTATCTGTGAATGTGGTTTTGTGGGATTTTCTGAGCATTAATTCATTGCCAGGTGCTGTTATCCAGATTGTATCTTTTTTTGTGGAAATGATTTATAGCTCATGCGGCTTATGGTTTGAAAACCTGTAGCGGAGTGCGGGCACTTTTGCTGGTTTGATCTAAATTAATAGGTGAATATTTTTGTCCTGCAACTTTTCGTTTCAGTTCGATTGAACAATTAGTTCGCAACATGCTGTCGTGTGTTGTCTATCCTCTGGTATGAAGTTGAAAATTGCAGTGTCTTTATCCCTTTGATTCACCCACTGTAAGCCTACTTAGCTCCAGCTGAAGCCATTCAAGTCAAACTGTCTGTAGATTGAAGTTTACTTTTATTTTTAGAAATGTTCGTTAATTTTTAAAAATTTCAGCATAAATCAATTGAAACGAACTACAATTTGATGATTGAATGCAGGAAAAATGCAGTGGAGAGCCTTTTCTCGCTCTCAAATCCAACGAATCGCGCTGGACCACCAGTCCATCCGCACCACCAACGTTCCTCCGCTTTACTAAAGGTAAGCGATCCATCCTCCACTAAATTTCAAATATTTGGGGGGTTTTGTTTCCTTTTCAATACCAATCAGGTAATCAATCTGCATGAATGGGTTTGATAGAGTGAAGCCCTGTGGACCGGATTGGAGTGGCCTATGCGAGCATGGAGATTGTTTCTCTGCTCATTAGAGGTTGGCCGTTATTGACCCTGCTTCTGGTGATCAATCTCTCTACAGTGAAGACAAATCAATTGTTGTCGCGGTAGGGTCGCGTCATACATTTTTTTATTTTATGTGGTTTAATTTATTGAATATTTGAAAAAATAGATAAAGTTTAAATTTTTAATTATTGATATGATGCATATGTTGATTGGTGATTTTGTTGGATTCACTCAGCTCAAATATATGTTATCTGAATTGCTACATTTCAAAATGTGATTCCGTTTCCTACCACCATTTTCCCCACTTTCTATGGAAATTATTCATGCTCACAACAGATGCATTCAACCTCCGTAGCGAAGTGTGAGCACATTTTCTAATTAAACAAAAAACACAATGCTTAAAATTTAGTCAAAAAATTTCACTTTCTTCTTTTTATCAATTTTCTCAGTAGTAAATTATAGCAATGATCTCTTAACTTTAACTCAATTGGAGTTATGGTCCCTCAACTCTAATCCAACTGGAGAAATGGTCCCGCAACTGTAACCCAATTGGAGAAATGGTTCCTCAATTTTAATCTAATTGTAGCAATGCTCATTCCAACATAACTCATTTTGACAAAATTCTGACAAAGTTGACGAAAAGAACCATAGTTATACGTTTGGATGAGTTGAGGGATCCTAATTTTAGCAATGATCATTCTAACTTAACTCATTTTGACAAAATTCTGACGAAGTTGACAAAAAAAACCATAGCTACACATTTTGATGAGTTGAGGGATCACTGATAATGGATTTTGAGTTGAAGGACTATTGCTCTAATTTAATTAAAATTAAAAGACTATTGCTACAATTTACTCATTTTCTCAGCAACTAAAAGACTACTAATTTATACAATATGCAACCAAATAAATCTACCCATTAGAAAAAGAGAATTTTAACGAAAAACTCTCGGTAGTGTTCACTTTACGAAAAATCATATTTTTACACTAAAAAACCAATCATAGTACTATTTATTTTACATTTTATTTTACCCATATCGTTAAACCTCAAAGTTTTCAAATCATTTTCATTACTTTTCTTTTAGAAAAATGAACGTAGAAAAAAATTAATTTTATCCTTATTCTTAAAACTCAAAGTTTTCAAACATTTTTTATTAGTTTTTTTTTAGAAAAATGAATGCAAAAGAGAGAGAGATAAAGAGAGAGAGAGAGAGAGAGACCTCAAGAGCGCGTTTATTGAGCTTCAGCTTCCTGAGGCGGTTGATGGCGTGAAAGACGTCACCGCTGTGAATAGGAAAGCCATCACCCATCCAGCTCTGGAAAGCAGACCCAACTGGCTCTTTGTTCTGCAGCTTCTCAATCCTGTAAGATAAGCACGAACTGGGTTCTGCTTGTTTGGACTCGATGATTGTCTCGGGAAAATCATTTTCTGTTTGGGTGCAGAGAAAATATCTGAAGCCAGATGAAATTATGGGCAGAAAAATGTGGGACATAAACTGTTCGACGATTTGCCTGAATGAGAGTGCTCTGTATCACAAGGTGCAGAGTTTTTATACTTTCATTGAGAAAGTAAATGCATCGGGTGCCTGGTAATGCTAAAATTTCCGGCTCATGTACTTAAGGGCGGCCTGGCCTCCAATGAGAAGCCCAAAAGAAATAAATAGGTTTGTTTTTCAGGTGAATGAGAAAACGTTTGAGTCGCTTGATTGTGTGACTTGACGTTTCACTTTTTACGTACAAAATAGGTTTTCATTTTTTATTCAATTAATTATATAAAACAATGAAATCTTACAAATATTGGCTTTAACTGTTAACCTTAATGGGTTCTCGTATTTAGACAAAGACTCAACTTGTGTAAACTTTTTATTTAGACACACACAAAGTTTGTAATAATAATAATAATAATAATCATAATCATAAATTGAGGGCCCCTTCGGAGTGGGAGGCTCTAGGTAGCCCGCATACTTCGACTATCCTTAAGGCTGGCCTACACAAGTAATTCCATAGTCTTCGTTCGTTTGCAACTTTGTTAAAGCATCTCCAAGAAATGTAGCAATTGAGTAGCACCATTCATTTGCTATGCCACTCTTTTTTCTTTTTTTTGGAAAAGATTTGCTATGCCACTTAGGAGAAACGCATTTTGAACGGATGGCAACCCAAAAATGCATCAAATTCCAACCCTAAAGAAAGCAGAACAACAAACGCATATATTTAAGAAAACTTGCAACATACAAAGGCAGCCACAAAGCAAATCAGAAAAACCTAGCTAGCTCTCTCTCTCTAGCTAGAAGATCATCGATTTGCAGAACAAATGGCAGTCCTATTATTTTACAATAAACTCTAAACCCCAAACTGGACACTTCAACTTTTACAGGTTTACAGATCAAATGGCAGTCCTATTATTCCAATTCTGGTTACCTCAGAAAAAGTCAGAAGATAGGAACAAGACCATTACTAATTTACTACTGCCCTAATAGTTAGTGGCTTGTTACTTGTTAAATAATGGAGCAAGGGTCTAACTCAAAAGGCGATATAGTGTTACAATATAATATCGTTTTTTTTATTTGTAAGTGAGAGGTTTTAGGTTGGATTATCGTCAAAGGTAAATTTGAATCACATTATTGATAGCCCAGTATAAGGTTAGCCCACCCCCTCACTTTAGTATAAATAATATCGTTTGTTTAAAAAATAAATAAAAAAAAGAAAAAAAAGTCAACTCAAAGGAGCTCTCAATCGTTCATGTCCACTACAATTTCATTTATCATTTCCTAACCCAAACACACAACAAAGTAAAACCCACAAGAAATTGAGGTAAACAAACACATAAATTAAGAAAGATGTAACATAAAAATAATTAAGGTTGCCACAGGACACAAAGCAAATCCCATGGCTAATCTTATTTTACAGTAAGTTCTAAAACCAAGCTTTTGCAGTCTTCTTCTTATTTATTATAGAGACCATCACAGCTTTCTTCTTTGAGTCTGGATATTGGCTTGCTTCGATCATTTGTGGCAGCCACATGAGCTGCAGCTGCAGCTTGAGCCACACTTGCAGTCATTCTCTGCTCCATATCTCATCTCAGACCCCTCAGAGAACCTGCAATAATAATAGTAATAACAATAATATAGTCATTTTTGTTCCTTAATTAGAGAGAGATTATTAGCACTCCTGAAAAATCATTTTGCAATCTTTGGAGAGTATTTTTACCTTGTATTTTTATATTTAATTAACCAAGGTTAAAACAACAATTGCCTTATAAAAACTTACATCTTCACAGGTGCAACTCCGGCAATGATAGTTTCAGTGGAAGTGGTCTCTGAGTAGCTCATATCAGGGTGCATGCCACACCTACACGTATATACATATATATAGAGAACATTATTATTAGGAAAAATATCTAAGCAAAGTAATCAGTTCATAGTTAAGAATATAATTAGGAATTATGGAGAATGATTATATATATATATACTGGTCAGGGGAATAGAAGAATTACTTGCAGCCACTGCCGCACTTGCAGTCACTGCCACAGCTACAATTGCAAGACATTTTCTTTAAAAGATGGTATAAGGATAAGGAGAAGATTGCTGTAGTTCTGGGAATTGAATTCACTCAAAGCCTGGGATGAGTTTTCTTGTGAGGGTCTCAACTGCTATTTATAGTGCAAGTGAAGGCTGAAGCGGTTGAAATCCACCGTACACGTGGATCAATCCTGGATATCTAAGCAAAATTATTAAAGTTCATAGAGATTACTTGCCATCACCAATAATCCACAATACTTTAAACTTTTCTTAAACACTGAGATTTAGTGTTACTAATATTTAAATGGTAACATGTTTGTGTCTATAAATGTCACAATTTAATTAATTATCAAACACAATCTAAACTTAATTTTTTGATAAATGATTATTTGTTTTAGTGATACTCAATTTCTATATTATATTTAAAGAGGAAATTGAGTTTAGTTGTTGAATCAAACAAGCAAAGCTTAAAAGTTAAACAAAAGTACAGTATCAATGTTTAAAATAGAAAGTTAAGGATCTTATTTCTTATCATTCATGTGCACCACTCAAATTCAATTCCATCAACTTATTTTTTTTGGGGAGGAATTCTTTCATTTTATTGATAGTATATAGTCCGGTCGTTCAATCAAAAAGTTTCTTTGCAAAAAATGGGGAGGAATTCTTTCATTTTATTGATAGTATATAGTCCGGTCGTTCAATCAAAAAGTTTCTTTGCAAAAAAAGGCAATGGGCATCCACCAAGTTGTTTCCGTATAAAAGTGTGTAGGTAAAAACCTTTTGTATTGAACTAGAAACTAGGAGTCCCTTTGAAGTTTCAATTACCAATTGATTTTTAGTTTTTACATTTTGTGCTTGAAATATAGGAAACTTTAGGGAGGAAGGGGCAGATGCAGAAGATTGGTGTGACAGAAGATAGGAAATTAAAGAACAATCAATGAAACCAAATCTTGAAAATGAAAACAACTTAAAAGTCAATTTTAGTTTTCTTTTTGTATTTCTTTCCTTGAATTCTTATGTATTTCTTCAGCGTTATCTTCCTTCTTCCACTCTTCCATGTCCCTCCCTTCTTCTTTGCATTCCCCCTCTATCACTAACAAAAAAGAAAAACTTAAGTACATAACATAATAATTATCAAAACAACCCTAAGTTGTTTGATTACATGGCTTATTTGATATCCTGAAGTTCTCTTCAAGTCAACTGATAGGGATTTTTACCACCTGCAAAAGTAGGGATAAAAACACTTAAAAATATTTGCAAGAGTACAAGGTTGTCGTAGTATAGCAGCTCAAGTAAGATCGTTTCCACATGGATTGAATGAATAATTTGTATTTAAAACCAACTCTTAATTAATTATTTAAAACAAAATTTGAAAAATGTTGATTTTAGAATTTAAAATAATAAAAACGAATATAAATTAAAAACAATTAAATTAATCAACTAGAAACCAATTTAAAGAAAATCAATTTGTAAAAGCCCTAGGGTTCAGCTGTCACCTTAACAATCCAACGTAATTCTTCCAATTACTGGAACCTCCAACATAGAACGTATATCTAACATGCAAACCGTCCGGACGTTCGGATCAAATATGAACATGAGGGACTCATTAAGTTTTATGAAAACCCTTCGAAAAACCATGCAACCCTTAAGACGTGATGTTCATCTTAAGTGAAATTACAATTATTAATCACAAGAACCCAGCGCCAATTTTAGGGAACCTTCCGACCAAAATTGCATCAAATTACTTTTATAAATATCCTAATGGTGATTAGGCATTAAGATAGTTAGACAGTTTAAAACAGTGATCAATAATTCAAAACATGCATGCATAATATCATAAGTAAATTGAAAAGAAACTACATATTCTTGCTAAGGCTCAAGGCTTCGTCCTAGCAAAAGAAATTAGTTACGAACAATCATAAAACAAAATATTATTGAGAATAAGAATAGAAAACACCTAAACTTGAATTGTCAAAGGATTGTGCGTCTCCTCCTCTCCTCTCTAAAACCCTAATGGCTAAATATCTTTATTTATACTACTATAAAATAAAACCCTAAAAGGTCTTAGAATAAAACAAGGAAACATAATAAAATAATAAAACAGGAAACAAAAGGTTTCATATTTGAACTAAAATTCGGACTTCTCAGAAAATCAGATTTTTGACCAACTAAATCAGCCCCGATTTGGTCCCAAAATGTCTCTTTTGAAAGCTTAAGTCGTCCCCTACAAATCCTTGGAAGGAATCTTCCTCAAAATTTACCATTTTAACCTCCAAAATATCCAAAACGTCCAAAAATGTCAATTTGAGAAAGCTGCGCGTTGGGCCTTTATCTCATTGCCACAGTCAAACGGCTTGGTAGAAAAATCTGGAATTTTGATACAATCATCTTGAAATACTCAAAAATATTCTCCAATTGGAATCACTCCAAAATTCATCCATTTGATCACTCTGTGCTCCAGAGGAAGTTGAATGTCCTACATTAAAAATATATAACAAAGAATCAAAATTTTACCAAAATAATCAATAAACTATAACTAAGAAGAGGGTAAAATATATGGTATAATATGGACTCATCATCAACTAACCTAGTCCTAGTTGTAGTAATTAAGTAATAATTGATAAGATATGGCCAAAGAGTGACATAAAGAATCCATAGAAATATCAGTCCCTTATTCCTGGGATAGATCGCCACCAAAACATACACGAATAATTGACAAAGTGGTCATTTTCTGTTGGTGAATTCCTAAGAGCAATATAATGTAATTTTTGTCAGTGGATAAACTAACAATTGTCAATTGTAAATAATGGTAATTGTCCACAAGTTTCTTTTGGTTAATTGTCCTAAGTTTGGTTCATGGCATCTTATTAAGAAGGGATGAAGTCTGCTGCTTAATTAACAGACAAATCAAACGTGCACATCCAAGTGAAGAAAAAAACACATTTGAAATGTTCTTGTCTGGGTCCCTAATTCATTAGTGTCTAATAGTTTCTTACAGAAAAATAAATTTGGCCCCTTTGGAATCTATCCCTCCATGATCTCGTAAAGTGTCACTAGTAGAAAAAATAGCTTGTTCGACGATATTTTGCGCGATGAACAATATTTCGTCGTGCAAGACGTACTTGAGCGACAAAAAATCAACTTTGTCACTCAAAATTGAGTGACGAATAATCTCTGGCGTCGCATAAAGTGAGCAAAAACTTGCACGACGAAATGGAGAATTTGCGGGACCAATAATTCGTCATGCAAGTTCCTATCAGTTTTGACCATTTACTACAGGTTAGTCCGAGGAATTAATACCGCATTTAATACAGGTGTTTGCGCGACAAAGGATTCATCGCGCAAAGGTCCTAACCCACCTATAAATATTCGTTTCTGCTGTCCTAATTCTTCACAATTCTATTATCCTTATTCTTCAAAATTTTGTTCGTGCTAGGATGGCGGATAAGAACAAGAGTGAGACTGTACGTGATGTCAACCCGCATGATTTAAGAGATCATTTTCAGTTTGCGCATGCGATCACTATAGCCATGGGGAATAATTGTCCCACTACTGAGTGGCGTTCTTGGGAAGATGTACCTGGGAATGTGAAGAAGGCTGTGATGGATGAAGTATTAGTGAGTATATTATTCTTGATGGATTAATAATTAAGCTTGTGAAATTCTTAGTTATATGTTGAAATTAATTATATGCATATATGTGTAACAGTGTAAGTATACTCTTGATGATGATACGAACGAACATTTGATGAAGTTGACGGATAATGCGTTAGAGGGAGGTTACAACCGATGGCGTTATGAAGTGTTGTGGAATGGACCAGGATCATCCAAATACTAGTTTTAAATTTATGTTTTGGATGACAATATTTAAATTTAAGGTGTTTTTTTATGTTACGTATTCAGACTTAATTATGTTTCAATTCATGTTGGTTTTTTTATTGAAACCTAATGTGAGCACCCTATCCTCGGTTTATATGTGTTTACAATCTTCAATGAATATTGTACGTATACTAAGAATAATTGTCACATCCCAGCCCGGGGCGGATCACTTCCCGGGCCCGCTCCACCACCGTAGCACGATATTGTCCGCTTTGGGCTTACCATTCCCTCACGGTTTTGTTTTTGGGAACTCACAAGCAACTTCCCAGTGGGTCACCCATCATGGGATTGCTCTAGCCTCATTCTCGCTTAACTTCGGAGTTCCTACGGAACCCGAAGCTAGTGAGCTTCCAAAAGGCCTCGTGCTAGGTAGAGATGGGAATATACATATAAGGATTACTCCCCTGGGCGATGTGGGATGTCACAATCCACCCCCTTAGGGGCTCGACGTCCTCGTCGGCACACACGCGACCAGGGTTAGGCTCTGATACCAAATTATCACATCTCGGCCCGGGGCGGATCACTTTCCGGGCCGCTCCACCATCGTAGCACGATATTGTCCACTTTGGGCTTACCATTCCCTCGCGGTTTTGTTTTTGGGAACTCACGAGCAACTTCCCAGTGGGTCACCCATCATGGGATTGCTCTAGCCTCTTTCTCGCTTAACTTCGGAGTTTCTACGGAACCCGAAGCCAGTGAGCTCCCAAAAGGCCTCGTGCTAGGTAGGGATTGGAATATACATTTGAGGATCACTCCCCTGGGCGATGTGGGATGTCACAATCCACCCCCTTTAGGGGCCCGACGTCCTCGTCGACACACCACGACCAGGGTTAGGCTCTGATACCAAATTATCACATCCCGGCCCGGGGCGGATCACACGATATTGTCCGCTTTGGGCTTACCATTCCCTCACGGTTTTGTTTTTGGGAACTCACGAGCAACTTCCTAGTGGGTCACCCATCATGGGATTGCTCTAGCCTCCTTCTCGCTTAACTTCGGAGTTCCTACGGAACCCGAAGCCAGTGAGCTCCCAAAAGGCCTCGTGCTAGGTAGGGATTGGAATATACATTTAAGGATCACTCCCCTGGGCGATGTGGGATGTCACAATAATTGTATGGATTAAGTAATTAGTTATATATAGACTAAATATTTAAGGCATTAATTATTTATAGAATAATATTTCAGGTATTAATTATTTATAGAATAAATATTTAAGGTATTATATTTAATACCTTAAA